TCTTCGGGTTTCTGGCCTCATCCCAGCTGTCTGGTGGGGGCTGGGCCGCTGGTTAGGTGGACGGACACTTCAACCGGAGCTTGTCACTCTGGAGGGTCAAGTGTGTAAGAGCCAGGACCGCACAGAGCCTTGGAGGTGGCTGAGTTGCTCCTGCCCGTGGAGCCCTCAGCGCCTCTGCAGCCTGCCTGCCTGGGGCTCAGTCCCTGGGGAGCCCACAGCCGCTTCCTGTGTCACCTCACTGGCTTTTTTTCTTTTTTCATGCTTATTTAGTTATTTTGAGAGAAAGAGAAAGGGAACACAAGCTGGGGAGCGACAGAGAGAGGGAGAGAGAAAATCCCAAGCAGTCTCCGTACTATCAGCACAGAGCCTGATGCGGGGCTCGAAATCACAGACCCTGAGATCATGACCTGAGCCAAGATCAAGAGTCAGACGCTTAAGGGACTCACCACCCAGGCACCGCGCCCAGCTGTCTTGAGAGCTTCTCTGTACTTGGAGCACAAGCTGGCCTCCCCATCAGCTGCCTCCACACTTCAAGAAGAATAGCCAACATATTGAGTGCTAACTGTATTCACACTGGGTCTTTACTCACTGGTGTTGCTTCGACAACAACCCTGTGAAGCAGATACTATTATTACCCCCATTATATGCTTGAGGAGACAGGGGCACAGAGAGGTTAAGTAACTTACTTAAGGTCACATAGCCATAAGCAGCAGCATTGCCTTCATCCCATGGCGCACAACAGCCTCAGAGGCGTAAAGGTGGTGGCTGGAATCTTCCTCCAGGCCAAAAGGAATGGCCTGGCCTCCAGCACCCCTGTTCTGTTCAGCAGAGCCCAGCAATGCACAGCTTCCCTCTGGATGGGGGACTTGCACAACTCTTGGGGTCTTTCCTGAACCACAAGCTGCTGTTCCCTTGTCTCTCTCCTTCATTGCTTGGGGCTGTAGAATTTTATGTCCTGTCTACCTGAGGGCTCCAGCAGAACCTGCCCAGTGACAGTCACACACAGTTGCAAGGGTTGTGCACTGCCCAACTCTGAGAGCGCTCTTTCACACAGGCTGTGAGGTGACGGAGCCCTGCCCCCAGAGTTGTGATACTCCACCTGCCCCTAAAAGGTGTTCTCCAGATGCACTCTGGTTCTAGGATCATCTTTCTGTGCCCTCTTGGCCACACCCCTTGAGGTGACCCTGCTGTGGAGCTGGTGGGGTCCCACGGGGCCCGAGCTGAATGGGAGCCAGCCCACCTTGAACGTGGCCCTCACCGTACAGAGGAAGCAGCTCAGGGCTCACCACCCCCACGTGCCAAGTTGGGACTAGAACCCAGGTCTCAACTCCTAGACCATGGTCCTCAGTCTCCCCAGGCTGCTCCATTTCCTGTGTTGTTTCATCCCATTCCTGAGTGCCCTGAGGGCATGTAGAGGGCGCCCCACGCCCTCCTCGGGCTCCTAGCAGCACTTAGCGGCTGGGTCATTGCTGGCTTTGGATCCTCTCTCCAGCTCTTCAGAGACACAAGGACAGAGAGGCCACACGCTGGGGGTTGGGGAGGCTCGGGCTCTTCGCCATGACTCATTAGAAGATTGGGACTGGAGACTTTAGTGTCTCCCAAAGGAAGGGTAAGTCAAGGCAGTTACCCCACAAAAAGTACAAGCAGAGTTTGTCTGGTCAGGGCTTCTCTGGCTTAGGGGTAAGTTTGTGGCCATAATTCACCTTTTTTGAACAGTGAGCGTTGATTCTATCCCCAGCCTGTGTCAGGTCCTAGGCGTATGGACAGAGAATCCACAGTCCTTGCCAGTGAGAGCTTACGGTCTGCTGGGGGAAGCGAGCATCATCTGTAATTGGAAAGCACCTAGGACCATCGTGCACAGTTGCACAGATTGTGCACTATTCAACTCTCGGGGCACACGTCACGTACAGTGAGATGAACGAGTTGGGATGCACGACTGCCTGCAGTGGCTCTAGTGTCGTCCTCTCCTAGACATAGTGTCGGGCTTTAGGTTGTCAAGGGAGGACAGGCTCTTTAGACTGTCCGGCAGGAGGCGAGGGAGACGGGGCTGCCGGTGGTAATCTGAAAAGGCTTTCCCGCAAAGAAGATGCTTACACTGAGTCTTGGAGGATGAGCGATGAGTCTCCAGCCAAGGAAGGGGGAAGGGTGTGCCAGGCAGTAGAAAGAACATCTGTCAACCTTCGGAGACTGGAGGCTGGGGAGGCCGGCCAGGAGTGGGAGACGGAGGAACCCGAGAGCACCTGGGTGGGCCTGAGCGGCCGGAGCAGGGTAACGGGGAGCAGGAAGAGCCAGGGGCCTGACCCCCGAGTGTGACCAGAGCAGTGCTGCTCTGACCCGCCCTCCCGGAGTCTGCCCGCACCCAGCTGCACGCTTGGAGATGGGTGTCTGATAGCAGGACCTCAGAGGTGCTCGACCCCAGGAGATGTCACATCAACTTCGTGTTTATACCCCGTTCCCAGGGAGGCTCATGCCGCCGCCTGCTGGCGTCTGCCTCCGGGACAATTTCTGTGGTCTTTTCCTGGAGCACCCCCCCCCCCCCACCCCCCCCCCCCCCCCCGCCAACCAGGAGGGCACAGAGAGCCAGTGTGCGGTCACTGTGCCCAGCATTCTGGTAACCAAGGTGCTTCTGGGGCTCTCTCCGCTGTGCACAGGGTCCCCAAGAAGGAGCCAGGCCAGACCAGGGGTTGCCACTTACTGTGGTGATCATCTGCCATTGTCCCCAAGCAATTACAGATTGTATTTGTCCAAGCGATATTGCAGATTGGGTCGGGGACAGAAATGTGCTTGGAAAACCAAAGGGCTGGAGAGAAATCGAAGAGCACGTGCCATGGGTTGAGTGGAATGTCAGTGGGGACACAAATGACACCTTGCTTATGACTCTGGCACAAGAAATTTCTTTAAAGGCAGATTCGTGGAGGTACGCCGTATTTACGTATGGTAAAACTCACCCTATTTAGGGTACAATTCTTGTGAGTTTTGACAAATGTGTATGATCTTATAACCACCACCACAGTCAAGATACCCAACACTGCTATTGCCCAAAAAGTTCCTCAATGCCCTTCTAAGTTTTTCTTTAATTTTTTTATGTTTATTTTTGATGGAGGGAGAGCACAAGCAGGGGAGGGCAGAGGGAGGGAGAGAGGATCCAAAGCAGGCTCCTCGCTGACAGCAGCGAACTCGACGCGGGGCGCGAACTCACGAATCGTGAGATCATGACCTGAGCTGAAGTCGGACGCACAACCGACCGAGCCACGCAGGTGTCCCCTTCCCTGGTGCCCTTGCAGATTCAGCCGCAAACCAGCCCCTGCCAACCATGGACCCGCTCTCCGCCCTTAGAGCTCTGCCTCTCCCAGAATGTCCTGTAAATGGAACCCTATAACACGTAACCATTTGAGTCTTGCTTTAACTTAGCAAAACACATCTGCGATTTGCCCGCATTATTGCACGAAGCAGTAATTCATCCCTTTGATTGCTGGCCGGTACTCCATGGGGTGGATGGGCCATTTTATCCAGTTCAGCAGTTGAAGGGCGGACGTCTGGGTTGTGGCCGGTGTGGGGGGGTCACAGATAAAGGCTGTAAGCATTCGCATACGGGTATCCATGTGGCCCCGTGTCACCAGCCGGGAGGGAGTTGCTGAGCGTGCGGTCTGTGTACGTTTCGCTTTGTAAGAAGATGCCAAACTTTCCCAAATGACTGTACCATTTTGCATTCCTGCCAATTCCAGTTGCTCTTATATCTTGTGAAATTTTTAAAGAATAAGGACGGGGCGCCTGGGCGGCTCAGTGGGTTAAGCAGTTAAGCATCTGACTCTTGATTTCAACTGAGGTCATGATCTCACAGTTCATGAGATGGAGATCTGCATCAGGCTCTGTACTGAGAGCACTTAGCCTGCCTAGGATTCTCGCGCGCACGCGCGCATGTCCCCAAAATAAATAAAACTTTTGTTTTAATTTTTTTGTATGTTTTGTTTTATATTTGAGAAAGAGAGAGGGAGAGTGAGCATGAGGGGGGGAGGGGCAGAGAGAGGGAGACACAGAATCTGAGGCAGGCTTCAAGCTCTGAGCTGTCTGCACAGAGCCCGACGCGGGGCACAAACCCACGAACTGTCAGATCATGACGTGAGCCAAAGTTGGACGCTTAACTGACAGCCACCCAGGTGCCCTGAACTTTTAAAAAAATTAAAGAATAAAGAATGAAGAAAGTAAGGGCGCTGGCTGGGGAGGCTGTGTGGCTAAGGCTTTGGTGCTGCAGGGCGGCTGACAGGTGCACCCTCCCCGCCCCCTGCCCCCTTCACCCCTGTCCCCTGTGATTCTGCATCCGTGTCAAGATTTATTTTCCATCTTAATCCCTGTACAAGTGATATTTGGGTCCTTGCTAGGGTTACTCGTTGGACCTCTTGTTGTCAGGGCTTCCCAGGATGGATGGGCTGACACATTGGGCACCGAGCCACAGGGACGCATAGTAAATGGCCACAGGCAGTTTCCCCACTCGCAGCTGCTTATGCATGCCACTCCCCCTGCGGCGGGCCAGGGGCATGCTGGGGGCCTTCCAGCTGCTCGCAGGACAGGGAGATGGGTGTTGATTCGGGGGGGTGAGGTACAGTCGGAGGGGGGCAGCAATGGAGGTTAGAAGTCAGAACAGTGGGGGGCCCAGAGAAGACTGTTCACCTACCTGCTCCCTGCCAGAGCCCCCCTTCAGCTGCTGCTTCCCCTGGGAAAAAGTGGGAACTAAGACCCTTCATCTGTAGGGGAGCCTGGAGGCCAGCTCAGGGGCCCCCAAATATTGGGGGGTCCAGAGGGGACCACCAGCCTCTCCAGACCTCCCTGAGGCATCCTGAGTCAGAAACGGAGGGCCGCGGAAGGGAAGCCACTGGAGGTCACCCAACAGCCTGGGGTCAGAGCTCTGGGTAAACCGAGTCATCTCCCACTGGGTCACAGGGTCCCGCCAGGTCTGAAGTGGGACTGACGCCATGTCCTTTGTCCGTCTGTCCACCATCCAGGTGCAAGTTCTTCAGTCTGACTGAGACGCCGGAGGATTACACCATCATTGTTGACGAGGAGGGGTTCTTAGGTAAGTGCTTCTGTCACTGCCGCTGGACCGGACCATGGCCTGCGGTCAGTGCTGACTGCCTGCCGCCTTATTTCTGCCCACACCCGCTGCCTTATTTCTGCCTCCGCTCCACCTTCCTAGTGATGGGTTAGAAAGTCAGCAGGGAGTCTGTTGCCTTCTCTGCCTGTGCCCTGGCTGATCCCGGCTTGCAAGGCGGCCCTGGGAAAGGTGGCCCCGGAGCTAAAAGGGTCAGGAAGACAGAGTGCTTGCCCAGCTGGGAATGGAAGCTACCAACAAGGAACCTGGGGCCTGTTTTATTGAGCACCTGTTTTATTGGACGAGGTGCTTTAAAATGTCCTCAGTCCTTGTGCCCATTGGAGGGAGCCCTGATGAGTATCTTCTTTCTGTGATTTGCCTTTCCATTTTTCTGTTTTTCAGATTGAGCTATAATTCACGTATCGTAAAGTCCACCGCGTTATTTTTTAATTTTTTTAATGTTCGTTTATTTTTGAGAGAGTGCAAAGTGGGGGAGGGGCAGAGAGAGGGGGGGAGACACAGAATCTGAAGCAGGCTCCAGGCTCTGAGCTGACGTCAGCACAGAGCCTGATGTGAGGCTCGAACTCCCGAACCTCGAGACCATGACCTGAGCCGAAGTCGGATGCTTAACCGACCAAGCCACCCGGGTGCCCCCCTGGTCACTTTTTCGTGGTTTTCTTTCCAACTTTCTCTGTGCATGGCTTGTATGGTCAGGGTATGTATGACTGTGCCCTGCAGCAACATGTTTTCACCTGCCCGTAACTTGACCTTTCCCGTGATGTCACAGCCTCTCACAGGGAACGTCCTGGCGGATGGGACCCGCCTCCTCACAGGGTCCACAGCGGTTAGAATCGAAGTTGGCTTCCTTCTTCTCCAGTTATAAATTTATGGACTCCTGAAATGTATAACATCTACTCGTATTCGAGGTGGTCCCTAAAATGGGGTCTGAGACATGGTGTTGGGGGGTCAGAAGTCGACCTTTTGTGTGGTTCTCGATGGAAGCTGGAGGGCAGCCGTCTTAGACTGTCCTCACTGGTGAGCACGCGAAACCCTGGAGGAGCCGATACGCCCCCCCACCCGCTCTGTCATCCTTACACACCCCTGCCCTGGGCGCCTAGCTGGTGTGGGGGCTGCGCCCGGCCCCCCACGTCTAAATGGGCACAGTGTCCCTCCCTGCCTCTGAGGGGACAACAGCCTGGCCACAGCAGGGACAGGACAGGCCCTAGGGGAGGCCCCACCCCATCATCAGAGTATCTAGCTAGTCATTCATTGATTCATTGATTCATTCATTCATTCAGCCAATATTTTCTGAGCCTACAAGCCGCAAACGAGAACTTGTGCCTTAACTACTGCGCACAGTCACGTGAGGAGTGGGGGGGGGGGCACCCATGCCTTTATGTGGAGGTGCTGAGGAGCGTGGCCCCCCAGCCACAGAAGGAATGCCCTGGAGTATCTGTACTCCGTCTGTCCGTTTTCCCAGCCGAGACCAACCCTCTTCATCCTGAGGCAGCAAAGGAGAGAATGTGGGGAATGGGGAGAGGGGGCCGCCTGCAGGACCCGGTGAGCCCTGGGAGCCTACGTGTGCGGAACTGTCAGCGACCAGGGAGGTGTCCTGTTCAGAGGCAGCCCCTCACCCCCACCCCCAGATTGCAGGAGGCAACATTTACAGAGCACCTGCTGTGTGCCGGCATCTCACTGGGCCCTGGATGGGAAACACCACCTCTGACCCCAGGAGCCTCAGGGCCCGCCAGCTGATGACACTGTGGGTGCAGGGAGGGTGTGGGTGCCCTAATGGCATGTCGCAGAACACGCCCTGCTGTGCAGGAGACAAGCAGATGCGTGAGCTCCCTGAATCAGTGTATATACCGCCCCCTCTGGGCCTGCTGTCTGCACACACCGTGCTAATAAGCCCTGAGAAGGACTCTTTTTTTATTTTATTTTTTTAAATGAGAGGCTTGGAATGGGAATGTAGCATTTTTTAAAGCTTTTTTCAAGTTTATTTATTTTGAGAGAGAGAAAAAGAGAACAAGGGAGGGGCAGAGAGACAGGAAGAGAGAGAGAGAAAATCCCAAGTGGGCTCCGCACTGTTAGCACAGGACCTGATGCGGGGCTCAAACCCACGAACCGTGAGATCATGACCTGAGCCAAAGTCAAGAGTTGGATGTTTAACCACCTGAGCCACCCAGGCGCCCTGGGAAAGACTCTTACTTGCTTCGTTTTATAGATGAGGAAAGGGAAACACACGTGTGTAGCCTGCCGGAGACCTCATGGTTGGCGTCATCTCTGAGTGCTTCCAACGGCCGGGCCCTGGGCAGGGGAGATCAGAAGCGCAGGAGTCCAGCCTCTGCCCCTGAGCTTCCGGGAGGACAGAAACACAGGAACCAGAATTACAGTAGCAATGGAGAGTGGCACCCATCCTAGCTAGCTGAAGTGCAGTCCAAGAGGACTTCCTGGAAGAGGCAGTGCTTGAGGCAGACCCAACTAAATGAGTAAAGAGCCCACCCAGTGGCACCCATGCATCCGGGGGCGGGGAGGCTTCCAGAATGGAGGGCTGCTTGGCACTCTCAGGGAACTGAAGGTGAGCACATGAACAGGAGGAGACAGGACACGTGAGGCCAGGGGCAAGGGGGCAAGGGGGAGCCGGCGAAGGGTCTCCCCTGATCTGGAAGGGCTTGCCTGGAGGGAGCCGAGTGAGGCGGCTGTCCCGGTGAGGACCGAGCAGTAGTAATGGCCAAGGGCTCCCTGCTGGGTCTTCAAGTCTGGGGAAGGTGGGATCTGGGACAGGTGTAAATTAGTCACCCAGCAGGGGCTGGGAGGCCGGGCCCAGCCTCTGGCCACCCTGAACTCTGTGACTTCCCGGTAGGGGGTCTCGCTTCAGCTCCTGGTCAACGGACTGCTTGGGTATCCATTATTGCCCCAGAAACATCAAGCAAAGTCATGTGCATCTGTTGAAGTGTGTGCTATCTCCTGCGCTCATGTTCAAGAGCTCCGGGGCGAGGGGGGGGGGGCCGCTGGGGAGGGTCCACAAAGGGAGGACGCCGGGGGGTCCACAAAGCCAGACTCCTGTTCACCTGCACGGCCCTTACTGTTATGACCTCAGTGGAAACGCCTCCCCTTGTGGGCTCGTTCCAGGGGCCAGCAAGGTGGAGAGTAAAGACCCATTTTACACATGAGAACACAGGCACCAAGTGCGCGGTCACTGTGAGTGATGGGGTGCGGATTTGAAGCAGGAAATGCCTTCAGGGTGGTCCTGGCAGAAATAAGGAAAGTACTCGGAGAAGGAGAAGCGGTATGGGGGTTCCAACAGACCGAGGTCAGGAGCAGCAGCTGAGAAGCAGGGGGAGGGGCAGGTAATCTGGGAAGGCTCTTAGAGGGCAGGATTGGGGAGGGTGTGGAAGGAGCCACACGGTCCCACTCTCCTGCCCAAGTTCTGGGAGGCTTCCCTGCAGAAAGGGAGCTGGGTCTGTGGCTGCCCCTGGGAGACCCCTGGCTGCGCCACATCACATGAAGGAGAGCATCTGTCTCTCAGTGATCGCTTGTCACTAGACGGCCTCCTGTGGCCACTGGGAGCCTTGGTGACTGTTCGCTGGCAGGGTCATGGGCATGAAGCTCTCACAGTTAGGAACTAGCAGCTGTTTGCAGTTCACTTGCATGTGAGATGAAGAATCTTGTCGGTGGGGGGACAGGACGTTAACCAGACAGCTCCTCGTTTAATGTGGAAATTAAGAGGTTCTTGGCTCGACTGGATCTGTCGGTCTGTGTCGCAAACAGAAGCAGGAGACGGGTGTGTGTTGAGCTTTTATGTGTTTAATGAGCACTTACTATGTGCGATGCAAGGTGTTCTTGGGGACCCAAAATAACAGTCCCTGCCTTGACCTCTGGGTAGTGGGCATAATCTTAGGTTTGTGGTTTGGAGGGGCCCGGTGGTAACTGGGCCCCCACCCATCAGAGCCCCTGTATCTGAATGTGTGATCCATACCACAGAGGGGCAGGGTGAGCTCAGGGGGCTGTGATTGGTCCAGAGGTGGAGCGGGGAAGTGGTTGAAAATCAACTCCTGGCCTCACCCTTGGGCTAAGATGGGGAGACCCATGTTCAGATGCTGCTCTGCCCCCTTCACAGCTTGTGATTCTGGGCGCCCCGCCTTGTCCCAAACCCAGGACCCCCTCTCCCTTCCGGAAGTCACGCCCATGGCCGTACAGTGCACCTGTGCTCTATAGGCCGTGTCTACCTTGCATGTCCCCCAGGGCGGAGAGGGCTGTGCTCACCAGAGCTCTGAGCTCCTGGCATCCACCTTCTAGCTTGTCATTTACCATTTCGTAAGCAGAGGGACAAAGTGGTGTCCTCTCCAGGAGGTCCAAGCCGATGGAGCTTACAGCCCGGTCAGGCTCGTTCTTACTGTCCCCTAAAGCTGGTGCTCCCAGGGAGCACTGATGGGGGACAGTGCCTCTCAGCATTTGCAGTGGCCTCCTACCTATGCTCCCCTTCGCCCCGCTGCAATGTGTAAAGTAACAGCCTGGAGCTGAGATTGCATTTCCCAGGATGGGGAGAGGTGGGAGGGCAGTGAGGAAGGGGGAGGGGTGGGCCTTGAGTGGCTGCCCCCTGCAGAGCCCTGGCCATTCCTGTGACACCCCAGTTCCTGCACGCCCTCCAAGCCCCCTCCCGCTGTGTTGTGGCAGATCTCTTCCACGGTCTACACCCCAGGCTGTGGCCGCTTTGCTGCGCTGGCCCGCAGTGGGTGTGGTCCCCGTCTTTTTATTCCACCCAGTAAAATCTCCTGCCCCTTCCCCAGTACCAGGTGGTCCTCAAAAGCTGCTCCCCTTCTCTCTATGTCCATCAGCTGATGGTGAGAGCCCCGTCCTGTTCGTCACGCCCACGGAATGAGACTTGCCTTCCGTATCTGACATAAGTTCTCCTTTACACAGCTATCCAAAGACATGTCTTATAGCCGGAAAACTTGTTTTTAACCAGATGTGTTGTGTCTGTCAGCGATGAGCCGAGGTTCCACCCCTGCCACTGGGTCTCACATGCCACCCAGTGTTCATGTGAAGCCCCCTCGGGCCGCACGCTCGCCCGGGCGTCCGTCTTCGCCCCGCGTGCGAGCTGCTCCGTCACAGCGAAACTGTACATTCAGGAAACCCCTGTTACGTGTTGCCCAAGTGCCTTCCAGAAACCGTCGAAACTACCACTAGCAGTGTACGAACACAAAGTCTCTGGCACTTGGTGAGCGCTTCGATGCCAGACACTTAGCTAAGCGCTTGTGGGGATTATCTCATTTAATCCTCGAAGCATCTTCTGGACCCGATCCTGATTTCATCATTCTGCATTTGAAAACTAAGAAACTTAGGGGCGTCGGCTTTGCCCAGAGTTGCACGGGCAGGATTCAACCCGCCCGCCTGGCCCCAGGACTCTTGACCCTGCTGCAGGCAGGGTAGGAGAAGCCCGAGGGACACTGGCTGTGTGGACAGGTAGCGGCTGTGTAGGAACCGTGGGCCCTGCAGCCACAACACGGGAGTCCTGGGGACATGGGGATCCAGTGAGCAGTGCAGGGGGGTGGGGCGCTCCACTCAGCAACAGAGCCTCTCCCCTTGGTCGCTGGCGGGTGACAAGACAGTTAACCTTCACCACCACAGAGCGTGCTCAGCTCCAAGAGGCTATTTTTAGGGTCTTGTACTATGTGCAGTGACAGAAATAATCCATTTCGGTCTCGGAATGGGTCCACTTTTCCTCTCGGGAAGGGCAGGCTTGCTGCCTGCCTCCTGGTCAGCCTCCTTACAGCCCCAAATTGGGGCTCAGTTGCCCTGAGGCTTGGCCTGGGGTGAGGCTGGGCCGGGACAGGCCTGCCTTCCCTCTCCTGTGGAAAGCCAGGGAAGCTCTTTGAGTTCCCAGGGCCCAGAAGCCACAAACACTGTGGTTTCCAGGTGCTTCTGCTCCTCTGACAAAGCTTGCCCTTTTGGAAGTATCATGACCACCATGGGTCTGAAGCTGACCACCACCGTCCGTGGGTTCTTTCCAGGGCCGAGAGCCAGGAGCAGGAGGCCCCGAGGCCGGGGGCAGGCCAGGCGGACCCAGCCCGGCCCGACCAGCTGCCCCGACTGGCCGACAGTTGCATTGACCTGAAATCCTGTGTTCCCACCCCCACCCCCACGCCCCCATTTTTCAGCCTCAGGCCTGGGCTTCTCTCCCTGGGACTCATCCAGACCTGCCAAGAGCCTCCCCAGAGCGGAGCCTTGGCCGCGGCAGCACCCCTTAACCATGCACATGCCCCAGCGGCTCACTGGGCGGGAGCCTTCCCCCCACCATATCTGTGTTCCCCCCTGTATCTGAAGCAGCTTTCTGGCAGCCTCCACCGGGGAGGGTGAAGCCAGGATTGGAGCTTGTCACTGTCTGAGCCCGGAGCCCGTGTTCTTTGCCCTCCTCCCGCCTTGGCCCCTGGAACGCGGAATCTGGGCCAGCGGGGCGGAGGGGAGCCCACCTGCATGGTGAAGGCCTTGTGGGGTCCGGTGAGACCACATGAAGGCGGACGCCTGGGTCTGGGACTCAGAGCGTCAGGATCGGAAGGCTGAGCCTCTGGTGGCCCGATGCCTCCCCTTTACAGTCCTGGAGCTAAGCCCCACATGGGGGAGTTTCCCTGATACACCAGGGCAGGCTGGTGGCCCACGTGGGTCTGGAAGGCATTCCACGGTGCCAGAGTGAGATCCCCCTGCCATTTACTACCCCATGATCTTGGGGCAGTCAGCTTCCCTCTCTGGGCCTCAGTTTCCAACTCTACGAAATGGGAGCGAGGTTGACTTTTCAGCCTATTACGGGTCCATAAGCAGATGGACAGCATTCAGACAGCCTCCCCGATCCGCCGATGTCTGGGCCCCTCTTCAGAGCCCTCCGCCCTCACTGGGGACCTGGTCCTTCTTCCTGGTCAGTGTCCAGAGCAGGGTGTGAGGTCTGTTTCCTAGTCGGAGCTGGGTTCGAATCCCGGCTCTTATGCATTCTGTGCATCCATAAGCAGAAGGGCATAGTCCCCACTGGTAGGTTGGAAATTCAAAGAAGTTGGCCGTGCCTGGGAATGGTCCCTGCGGGAATGGCATTGGCTCCTCCCAGGGCCTTTGCCCGATCCTGGGAAGTCCGATAGAAGCAAGGGATGATGTCGGAGGCCACCCCCCACCTCGGGTCTGGAGGTGTAACAGAGCCCTGACCAAGCTGGGTGGAAGGTGGGGGGGACAGGGGAGGTTGATAGGTGGGAACCATGCGACCTGGACAGAGTAGAGCTGCCACTCAGCTCAGACCTCTGCGTGCCAGGCCCTGAGCCTGGCAGAGAATGAAGCAGACGGGCCACTGTGCCGGGGACTCGCACCCCTGCCCTGGACGGTAGCCACTCACCGTGCGCAGCCCTCAGAATTGAAATGAATCAAAATTAAATAAAACTTGCAGTCTGTTTTCTTCCATTGCATCAGCCATATGTCTTCCATTGTGAGTGGCTACCGTTTGGGGGCAGTGCAGATATAGACCTTCCGTCCTTGCACAGAGGCCCCCTGGACAGCGCTCATTGAGGAAAGGACTTGGGCTTTTAGCCGAAGGACCTAGGAAGCCGCTGGGTGCCTTTGGGTCGTGAGGAACTTGGAATGGGCAGGCAGAGGGCGGGTTTGCAAAAGTTGCCGCGGTCTCGTGTTAGCATGTGGCAATCTAAGTGACCCTTCCAGAAATTTCTGAAGAAGGCTTAAGAGGTTCTGACCTAATGAAAGGGACATTTAAAAGTTTTTCATCACTACATATATTAAAATGGTGCCTGAGCTGGCTGGCCACGTTCGGGGCCCCATGACTCACAGCCAGTGCACAGGACCATAGGAAGTGTTGGCAGGACCATCGGGACACCCCACCCCCGGGGGGCTCTCAGTGATGCCCCTTTGGATTTCAGAACTGAGCTCCTGGTTTGGGGGAGGAGGTTTCCTCTGGAGGTCTGTCCTGGGAATACCTTTCATCTGACCCCCACACAACAGACTAAGAGTGTCTTCTGACTCGTGATTTCAGCTCAGGTCACGATCTCGAAGCTCATGAGTTTGAGCCCTGCATCGGGCTCTCTGCTGTCAGCACAGAGCATGCTTGAGATCCTCTGACTCTCTCTGCCCTTCCTCACCACCCCAAAAAGAAAAGCATTTAAGAAGCCTTTCCTCCTCTTCCTCCCAAACCTTCCCCTTTCCTGGGAGGCCATCTCCCTCTCCAGCCAGCCTGGCCAGAGAGGGACCAATGGGCTCCCTAGACTGTGGTTACCATGGCAACCAGAGCCAGGCAGGTGGGAGTCCGGAAGCCATCTTGCCCGAGGCCAGCCCAGCCTTCCTGGGGTGGCAGTATCTTCGTCACCATTATCCAGACAGCCTCCCTGGGGACCTGGCCCTTCTTCTAGGTCAGCACCCAGAGCAGAGCACGAGGTCTGTTTCCTAGTCGGGACCTGGGTTCCAATCCTGGCTCTCACTCCCTAAGGGATCTAGGGCAGTCAGCAGCCCCCTCGGCGCTCTGGTTGCCATGCCAGTGGGAATGGCTGTCCTGGTACAGCGCCTGTGACACGCTCTGTAGCTGTGCTGGGCTCCAGCCCCAAGTGCTGTGTCTGCAGGACCAGCAAGGGCAGGTGAACATTTGGGTTCCGGGTGTTGTGAGCCGGTCGGGGAGACTCGGTGATTGCTGCCACTCTGACCCTCCCCCTGCTCCCGCCCAGGATCCCTGGGCTCCCTGGAGGGACTCAGGGGGCAGTCACTGCACAGAAGGTGGCATCCTTCAGAACCCTCCTGGGGCTGTGTGTTCGAAAACCCAAGTCTGATAGAAGCGGGGAGAGAAATCCTGGGGCCCCCCCAACCCTGGCTCTGGCCTCCCCTCCCCCTCCAGCAGCCTGGGAGGTACCCAGAAACTCAGTGTGAAACCACAGCCCCCAATACTGGCATGAGAACTGGAAATAACAAAGTCACTGCTGAGTGCTGAATACCATCGTTTCATGATGGAGGACACAGAGGTCCAGGCACAGATAAAGCGCTTGTCGCTGAGGTGCCTGCCTGGCTGGCCTGCCTGGCGTGTGCCCGCTTGGTCTTCCCGGCCTGGGACCCCCTGATCCCATCCTCCTCTGACAGACGAGGGCACCGAGGCCGAGAGGGCGGGGCTGGCTGGGGTCACACAGCTGCCCCCATCTCTGCAGCCCTGCCCTGCCCCAACGATCTAGACCTATCAGTCACAGGCCCGCCTTCCGTGTCCCCCCCCCCCAGAGCTGCCCTCCTCAGAGCACCTGAGCGTGGCGGATGCCACCTGGCTGGCCCTGAACGTGGTGTCGGGCGGGGGCAGCTTCTCCAGCTCGCAGCCCATCGGTGTGACCAAGATTGCCAAGTCCGTCATCGCCCCGCTGGCCGACCAGAACATCTCCGTGTTCATGCTGTCCACCTACCAGACGGACTTCATCCTGGTGAGCTGAGGCCCCACACGCTGGGTGGGTGTGTAGCCTGCAGCATTCCCTGGCCCCCGTCCCGTCCACTCGCAGAGACGGCGAGGGGCCCGGGGTCATCCGTCAAGCATCAGAACGGCCCAGGTGGGGCTTCGGGGTCCGCCTGGCCCCACTCTCCACCCGCCTTTGCAGGCCATGCTTGGTTTGAGCCGGAGGCCGGAAAGTGAGGGGCACAGACCTGTACCTCCCGGCCCTCCGGGCAGTGTCTCCTCCCCCCTGTGTCGTCCCGGCTGCCTCTGGGAGGCGCACGCACCCGGTTCCGGCCCCCGGCCCCAAGCCGGTCCTGGGAGCAAAATTTCAGAGTGAAGGGCATCTGGGACCCCGGGGCACTCACGTCCTTGACCCCCTCACCCCTAGGTGCGCGAACGGGACCTGCCCTTCGTCACGCACACCCTGTCATCGGAGTTCACCATCCTGCAGGTCGTCAATGGCGAGACGGTAGCAGCCGAGAACCTCGGCATCACCAATGGCTTCGTGAAGCCCAAGATGGGTGAGCTGGGGCGACTCCGTACAGAGGAGACCCCAAGAAGTTACCAGGTCCCACTCCAGAGCGGCTCCACTCTCAGAGCATACATGAAGTTCCGGACATAACATAGCATAACAGTCCTGGCCAGACCTTGCTCTCAAGGTCTAGCAAGGGCAGGGGACAGGGGCACAGTCAGTGATGGCCAGAGGCCACTCCTCACCCACTTGGTATCCAGGCAGACATCCCAGAGGCAGTGACTCTGGAACTGAACCTTAGAGCACAAATAGGAGCTGAACCAGGTGGTGAAGGTTGGAAAGGGCATTCCAGGCGGCCAGCAGGGCACGTGCAAAGGCCTGGGGGTCTGGAGGTGAGCCTGGAGGATCAGGAGGCTACAGAAGGAACAGGGGCCAGGTCTCCCCACCCCCATCTTCCTGGGCCCTCCTCCTCCCTGATGCTCCTCCTCCTCCCGACGTCAGTGCCTGATGTTTTTGCTCTTGCAGTCCAGAGGCCTGTCATCCACCCTCTGTCCAGCCCAAGCAACAGGTTCTGCGTCACCAGCCTGGACCCTGACACGCTGCCTGCAGTCGCCACACTCCTCATGGACGTCATGTTCTACTCCAACGGGTATGGCCCCCATGGGCATGAGAGGCTGGGGGGGTGCAGGGGGACATGACTCTGCCTGGGAGTCCCAGTCTGAGAGGGTGACACAGACCTACCCTGAGAGCTAGTCTGATGGGGGAGACACAGTCTGCCACCCACCTTGGCAGTCTGGTGGCGTCAGGTGGGGGGTGGCGGTGGGGATCATGGCTCTACCCAAAAGCCCCACTCCGAGAGGGGAACTATCCTTCCTGGGGAACCCCAAAACTGGGTGAAGCCCCAGGTGCACATGCATGTGTAATAAGCACCCCCGCTGTCCCCTGAGCTCCAAGGGCAAGAGGCCCGTCAGTCGAGGAGCTGGGATTTTGGGGTGTTTCATTCGGCAGAGGTAGGGTCTGCGTTTTTCCTCAGAGCAGATTTTAAGTTTAGGCCAACACTTGGGGAGGGGACCAGTGAGCTGGCAGTGAGCCCAGCTTGTGCCCTGAGACTGGGATCAGCACAGGGACAGAGAAGCTACTAGGGAAGGGGCGCGTGTCGTCTGCACTCTGAGCCTCCTGGGTCCCCGGCACTGGGAAGTGGAGGGCACGCCTCCATGAATGCCAGGGACTTGTCCGTATCTCACAGAGGAGGGACCGCGGGTGGGGGCCACAGGTTCAGGGTCACCTGGGAGGGCAGGCTCAAGGCCAGGACTTGGCCCTGCTTCCCCGGGCTTCCTAGCCCTGTGTGCCGAGGCCGACGGGCGGGCCGGGTGGGAGTCCGGGTGCGGCGGGGGCCCCTCCACCCCTCACCAGCACCCCCGCCCCACCCCCCAGAGTGAAGGATCCCATGGCTGCTGGGGAGGACTGCGGCCACATCCGCTTCTTCTCCTTTTCCCTCATCGAGGGCTACATCTCCCTGGTGATGGACGTGCAGACCCAGCAGAGGTGAGTCGGGCCGGGCGGGCTGGGCTGTAGTGCACACGCCTCCCACTTTGTACCCATCAGTGCTCCGCACAGCCCTGCCTCGGTGGTCAGCTGGGCCCATCTTGTGACAGCAGCTCAGAGAGACCAAGGCCCAGGGCCGCCTGGGCACTCCCCGTCTCCGGGGCGGGGGTGGGGACGGTGTGCCGAGCAAATGAGCAGAGGAGGGCAGTTGTCCCAAAGCCACTCCCAGCCTTGCCCTCCTGTTCTGCCCGGATGAGAAAGACAGGCTGGTCCTTGAGACCCTGGAGCTCCCGAGCCCCCTCCCTCTGGCCCTGTAAGCAGTGCCCCGAGGGTCAGCCAAGGGACCACGACCAACACCAGCCTCTGGGGTTTCCTCTCTTTGTTAAGGTTCCCTAGTAATTTGCTGTTCACGAGTGCGTCCGGAGAGCTCTGGAAGATGGTGCGGATCGGAGGACAGCCGCTGGGATTCGGTGAGTCCCCTGGGGCTCCGCACCGGCGGCTGGGGGCTTCGCATCACGAGTCACACACCCCGCGGTGCAGATGGGAAGGCTGAGGCTTGCGCCGAGGTGCCCCCGCCACGGGCCCGTGACTGGCGAGTGACAGGAGGCACGGTCCTCCAGACGACGGGAGGAGCTCCTTCAGCCCAGGCGCCCTTGTTGTTAAGGCCTTCGTCAGCCCACCTGCCCACGGGCAGTGGCCACTGCTGTTGGATGAGTTTCCGTCGTGTAAACACATGCAGTTGCTAAATGCCTCACAGTAAGACTGCGGACACCCCAGCACCCGCCCCTAAATGCCGCACCCCTTCTGTCCTGGAAGGGAGCACCTTCTCCTCCATACCCACGAACTGAGCCCATGGGAGGGAGTCCATAGTGATTCCCTAAGTCTAGACTCAGTTTCCACAATGACCCAGTGTCTTTGGCAGAGAGTTTTTCCCTTGAGCATTTTCCAAGTGGCCACAGGGCTCAGGGGCCTCGGTAGGTGGTAGGGCCACGTGGCACCGATCCGCCCGGTGTTGGGGGGGGGGGAGGAGGGGGCATTGCTGGCCCCATTACCAGCGATGCAGCGATCAAAAAGGATTTCTTTTTTTTTTTAATGTTTTTATTTATATCTGAGAAAGAGAGAGAGAGAGGGAGCATGAGCAGGGGAGGGGCAGAGAGAGAGAGAGGGAGACACAGAATCCGAAACAAGCTCCAGGTGCTGAGCTGTCAGCACAGAGCCTGATGCGGGGCTCGAACTCCCAAACCGTGAGATCATGACCTGAGCTGAAGTTGGATGCTTAACCAACTGAGCCACCCAGGTGCCCCAGAAAGGATTTCTTGAGGCTGGACCTGCTAGATGCCAGAGCATGAACCTGGCAGAGGCAGTCCATAAGTTACAGGGCAGCTGTTTCTGGAAGCATCCCCATCCAGCTCTGAACACTGATTTCCCACAGATGGGGTGAAGAATGTTCCAGATAAAGCTCAGACTACTCCAGGGTCTCCGTTCCCAGGACAGGAGATGAGGGTAGCAGGGCATTTTGACCTGAGGGTGCAGGGTCAGTGAGGGAGCCGTGTTGTGCCTCCTGCCTCAACCGCCTCTGGACGAGCCTGCAGGTGGACAGGATGGGACACATCCCCCCACCCCTCCCCTGCCCCAGCTCTGCTCACATCAAGGCCAAAGCCAGAGCCATACAGGGGCCAGGACAGGAGGCTATTCTCTGGAGTGCTGAGAAGTGTACACTGATGGCTCCTGGTCCGACCCTGGGACCCACAACCTGCCTCTCAGGGCCTCCTTCTCCACAGACCCCAGCCTTTCTGCTGCCTACCTGTGCTGCGCGGCGCAGGGTCACAGGGGTGTGGAGGCGAGGCCGGGGCTGGAAGAGACCAGCGTGGCCGCAGGAATTGAGCCTCAATTTCCTAATACATAAAATCAGGATGACGACAGCCGCTGCGCCTGGGTGGGGAGTTCTCGTGTTTGTCCGTTAGTCCAGGTGCTCTGCAGGCCACACGTGCCATCGCTGTCACATGTAAGGACCAGGTGGCTTGGAGAAGGGTCAGGGAGGGAGGACTTCCCAGAAAAGGTGACTGGTGGATATTCGCCTGGCTGTGGGGAGGAGGGGGCAGTACCAGCAGCAGGAGGTATGACGTGGCGGCCAGGTGGCCCCCAGCGGCTCTGCCCAGGGTACAGAGTTCAAAGGTAGAAAGGGTAGAAGGACCCAGCCAGGCCACCTGAGGCAGAGCGACCAAGGCCTGATGCCAGGCCAGAGGCTCTGTCACTATTTCTCCCTGAAGGTGGAGGCGTCGGGCAGAGCCTGGGCAGGTAGACGGTGGGGGGTGGGGGGGATGCCGGGGGCCACCAGGAGATACAGGCGAGAAGCAGGAAGACATGCACGTCAGCTTGTCTTTTCTGTCCCCAGCCCTGGTTCCGAGTTGATCAAAATAGACCCCTTATAATGCAAAAACAGAAAGTCCAAATAAAGAAGAGATAAAGAGGGGAGGTGGAGGAAACTCAAAACATCTCTCCCTCAGCAAGCGTGTGCACGATGCCGCCAGGCTGTTTTTGTCTGAGCGGCCCCGCGGGCGGGCAGCCAGGGGCAAGGGTGTGTGTGGGAATCGGCCGCGGGACGCTGCGGGCTTCGAAGCCACACTTGCAGCTATAAATAGCCCCGCAAGAAAAATAGCTTACCGAGAATGTGAAAGATTCTAGACCGGCAGATCCCATATGTTTCCGAGCGTGGTTTGGAGTAAACATGTTTTATAATCCCATCCCCGCGCACACACATGCGAACAAGCCCAGACTGCATTTGCACAAAACTACTCGCCCAAGCTCTGCGCTGTGCCATTTGGTCTGTATCATTCAGCGAGACGCGGGTCACCAGCCCTCTGGATTGATGTCACCAGTGGGTCCCAGCCCACAGTTGGAAAGGCAAAGGCGTCATTCTAGACTCTAATCTCCTGCCTCCATTTTTATCAGGATTGTTGCATCTGGAGCTAAAGGGTCTCTATCTACCACGTGGTGGCACAGAGGGTCACCAGATGCGCAGGCCCCAGGCCTGGACAGCCACCAAAAGGGCCTCCAGGTCCAGCCAAGCGGAAAGCAGGAGCCTGAGGGGCGTAGCAGGGTCACCACACAGGTCCAGGGCTGGGCTGACCAGCAGGAGCCAGGCCAGGGAGTGAAGGGGCAGAGGGGAGGCTGGTTGGGGTGACGATGGGGTGTTGATGGGGTAGAGGTGGGGCTGTTTCCCAGGCTTCAGCCTCAGAGTCACATGGGGAACTGGTGACCCGATCTGGACCCTCCCACCCAGTCGGGGACAGTGTTGGGGAAAACGTACCACTGTCAAAGTCAGAATAGTGGCTTTGGGAGAAACCACCTGAAAACTTTGAGTGTGTTGTGTTGGTGACGCAAAGTGGTCCTCAGACCCTGGAGGTCTTCCTGTAGGAGGAAGCCTTCAGCGGTGCCTTCAAGACAGGCAGGAAGCTGGAGGCGAGGGGAGAATGCACCCCTGCTTTGGAGGTCTAGAGGGAGAAAGAAGTCCCGTTCTGGGCCCAAACAAATGTCTGGCACTGCCTTTAGGACAGGCAGAGGTCATTCATTACCCAGTGGGGACCCAGCAAGGAAGCTTATGCTCAGAGAGAGGAAGTGACTTGACCACAGTCTTCTGGCTAGAAGAGAGTCAGAGGGCGACAGCAGAGAGGGCCTGAACCCACGGCCTCCCATCGGCCACGCTGCCTCCAGCTCCGACTCGGAGCAGTCGAGTCCTGGAAACGGGGCATCAAAGCCAGACAGAGCTGGGCGGTGCAGAGCCCTGCAGAGGAGAGCTCGTTGCTGGCCCGGGATGTCCGAGAAGGCTCCTGCGTGGAGGGGCCTTTGCACTAAGGCTTCAGGGTGAGGGGCAGGAGCGCTTAGAAACTGGGTGCGCGGCAGGCACTGTCCACAGAGAAGGGTAGAAGGCTGGCCGAGGAGGCTGAGCATGTCCCCACCTGTCCCCAGATGAGTGTGGCATCGTGGCCCAGATCTCCGAGCCCCTGGCTGCTGCAGACATCCCCGCCTACTACATCAGTACTTTCAAGTTCGACCACGCGCTGGTGAGTGTCCGGCACCAGCCCCCCACTGGGCGAGGGATGCCGGTTCGGGGCTCACGGGTACTCGCCCCTTCCTGCCCCTTGCAGGTACCAGAAGAAAACATCAACGCCGTCATCAGCGCCCTGAAAGTCAGCCAAGCAGAGAAGCATTAGGAGGGCCTCTTCTGCTTTTCCCCGTCTGCCCCCCAGGCCTGGGCCAGGCCCCTACCCCGAAGTTTCTTCTCACAGTATTTCTCACAGACTGGAAAATCGGCCCCGGGGGCCCCCAAGACGGGGCCTCAGGGAGACACCCCCGATTGTTCACCCTGCCAGGCCTGGGGCCCAAGCTAAGGCCTCCTGATGCCCCCCTGCCTTCCTGGAGCCCCCAGGCCCTCCAGAGACTTCCCAGCTGCCTCCTCCGCCCCCACCCCTACTCCAGAAAATGATATCTAAGGCCCAGGGAGCCTGCCAGCTGACCGCCTTCCCCTCGCCCCCTGCCCAGTTGGGGGCAGATGCTGAAGGAAGCAGGCTCCCCCTCCAAGACAATGGGGTTCTGATTTTCGGGTCGTCTTGGGGAGCTGGCTGAAGGGAGCCGAGTTCATGGAGACCAGGAAGGCCCCTGTGAGGCCCTGGGGCTGGATGTGGTGGCCGCTGGTCTCCGGTTCCATCGGCTCCGGGCTGGTTCCCGCAGAGTGGAGGCCGGTGCGCTGGGGAGGCTCTGACAAGCATGGGCAGGTGGACGGGGCCCCGATCTGGGGAGCACCCAGGCCACCCAGAACTTCACCTGCCATCCACAGGGCCCACGCCCCGACTCCCAGCAAGACTGCCAAGGGGACCCTGTCCAGACCGTCCCTGCCGTAAGCACTCTTTCCTGGGGCAGTCCCCAGGAGACCCACCAGCCTGGGGCTTGGGCTCCTGTCCCTTCCGCTTCCCCTGGACCCTACTTGGGCAGGCGGAGCCTCAGTTTCCCTGAAGTGGGGGCACCCCCAGCACTTTGGACCTGGGGTTCCTTGGGGTACCCCCACCCCCAACAGTCGACTAGACCAGCACAGGGCTCCGTCACTCTCCTGCCCCCTCCCCTGCCCCACTTTTGGGGGGATGTGGAAGGCCTCTGCCCCCAACTCGCCTGCCTGCCTGGCCCTCAGCTGGCCCATGGCGTTCATGAGTACCTGACCTGGGAGGCAGCTTATCTGAGCCTTAATAGAGAAAACCGTACCGTACGTTTTAGTTTCTTATTTAATGTATTTGCGCCCAGGCTGTGGTTGGCGGCAGTTTCAGCGGACAGGGGACGGGCCTACTGAGTTCTGTTGGGGACTCTGAGGCTCAGGGTCACTTGGCTGGCCCCCTGTGGCTCCAGGGACAGGCTTGAGAATCACTGGGTGTCACAGAAGCATGAGTGCTTTTTCGCTTTTTCAGAGCAGGAGGCAGGCAGCAGAGGTCTGTGACAAGTTAGGGGTTCCCCCAGGGCGCCCAGAGGCCCGGGTCAGTGGGCGGCCAGGTGGCAGTTCGGCCAGGAGGAATGGGGTGAGCCTCATTCCCCCCTCCCCTCCCCCCGCCCAGGCACTTTTTCTCAGGTGGCAGCCGCCTTGCGCTGTTCCCTAGGAGCTCAGAGGAGAAGGGGCGCTCTCCCTGGTGAAGGGCTCATGTGAGCCCCCCTGCCCCGTTCTCCCAGCATCGGGGGGCCCTCTGCCTCCTGGGGGGGTCCACCAGATGAAGGAGCGCTGTGTCTAGATCCTTGAAGATGTTCAGGGCTCAACCACTGATTAGGAACCCACCTTTTTTTTGGTTTTTGGTTTTTTTTTTAAAGTTAATTCGTGTTGCACAAAACTCTTAAAACAACCAAAACGTGTCCATCTGTTTGCTGGCTCCAAAACGGGGGGTGGGGTGGGGCGGGCAGCCGAGCAGGCAGGAAAGCACCCAACCACGTCCCCTTTCCCTCCTTGGAAGGCCTTGGTTTTCCGTGGCACGCCTCTCCAGACTCCTTCGCCGTTGGGTCCCCTGGTGATGTCACTTCTCTGCCTTCCCTCCCTCCCCGCCGAGCAAATGTGTTGGCCCCGTGACCCTGGAAGCGTGTGCTACCCAGACCCCCCCCCCCCGCAGGACGAATCTATTGTACACACTTATAAATACCTGTGTTTTATGTTGATATAGATATATACTGTAAATAGCATATATACTTGAGCAATATATATGTTAATATATGCTGTGTGAGCACGCACACGCGTGTGTGCACAGTACGTGGACACGGACCCCGCCGTGTGCGTGCGTGTGTGAGCATGAGGGCCTCCTCCTGCCGCGTCTGCCGTGCACACGGGCACGTTTTGAGCCACCGTATATTTTTAATTCAAGTATATAGGCAATACGTTATTCGAGAAGCCCTGACTTGAGAGAAAAAAAAAAAACCAGCAGCCCCAGAGCAGAGCCCCAGGGCTCCCTCCCCGAGTCTCCCCTGAGAGATGGATTCAGCCCCTTCCTGCACCCGTTTCCATGGCTACGCCCCTGGGCACCCTTGTTTTATCTGGGGGACGGTGGTGTGGAGAGAGGAGTTTTGGAATTTCTTGCCCTTGAGCAGAAAGGCCCTGTGACCATTGCCCTGAGCCCAAAGACCTGGGCAGGTAGGTGGTCCCGCCACAGCTTTCCACCCCGACCCCCTCCCGTCCCCTCCCGTCCCCTCCCGTCCCCTCCCGTCCCCTCCCCTGCCCTCTGGCTGTTCATGCTGAAGGCTTACCAGGTCCTTTTCACCTGCAAGCTTAGAAATTTCAGCTTCTTTTCTCAGGCTGCCTCCTGGACACTGGCCCCGTCTAGCCAAGAAGGACCAATGCCCTTGGCCTTGGGTCCAGAAGGGGCTGGGGCGAGGGCTGTTGGCAGCCATCTGGGCCCGGGTCCAAGCTGCCATCTGTAGCTTCCCATTCCTCGGGCTCCCCTCGCGCTGTGCCTGTGAGGAGCATAGTCGGGTTTGGTCCCCACAGCAGTTTGGGGGGGAGTGCTCCCCATTTGCTGGGTGCGGGGGCGGTCTCCAGACCCACCAGAGCGGCCTGAGGAATGCGCTGTCGAGGCTGCAGATCTTTTTGCTCTGGCTGGTGGGGCACGTGGCAGGGGCAGGAAAATGGGGTTCCTGAGTGAGGAATGGGGTTCCTGCTGAGAGGTAGGGGTGAGTGGGGGCCCCGACCTGCCTCCTGGGCTCTGGGTGTGTATCTTTGCCTCCGTGCCACTCCGCGGTAAGGAAGGCTCGCACCAGCTTAAAGCCACCCTCACCCCTTGCCTGCCCCATCCCTGCACACTAAAGAGAGGAGGCGGGGGAGGGGGAGGCGTGACCACCCGCTTCTCCCTCACCCCCAGTTACGAAAGTCTGGCTCAGACCCTCAGCATGGGCTCCCCTGGGTTCCAAGAAACGCCTTCCTCCTTCTGCACCCCCTTCCTCCACAGGGGTCTCCAGAGCCCAGGGCACACGTTCAAGCTGGAGAGGCAGGCAGACCTCCCTCCCCGGGATCTGGGGGTCCAGAGTGTCCTAAGCACCAGCATTCTGCCCCCCTGCCACCAACTCCAGGCTACAGGCCCCTGGTGGGGAGAAGAGGAGCCGGGTGACCGGGGGCTGCCCGCCCTGGCCTTCCCCATCAGACAGCGTGGCCTTGGTGACCAGTGTGGTGTCCAGAAGATGCGTGGTCTGGCGAGGCTTGACCCCTGTGAGGTGACAGAGGATGGCAGAGAAGGTTCTGGGGTGATGAGTAGGGTGAGGCCCCTGTCTCAAGCTAGGGTACCATTTGCCTGATAGTCAAAGATGAGGCAGAGTCAGGAGTCCTGTGGTCTCCCTAGGCCGCCTCTCTGGGCCTCTGGATTGGACGTGGGGACAACCTGGGTTCCCTGCCAGGGCTGAGAGGGACCCTGAGGATCTCCCGGGTGATAGCCAAGCAGTCCTGTGTTCTGTGACCTAGGAGTCTTTGACACCACCTCCTGAGTGAACACGGAGTAGGGGGTAGGAAGAACCCCCCCACCCAATATATCTGTGCCCCCCTGTAAGCCAGGGCTGGGGATCAGCCAGTCGTGGCTGTCACAGCCACTGGGAAAGGGAGCTGGTGTGTGGCTGTGTGTGTGGTCTGTGAGCAGAGCTTGAGGGGCGAGGATAATGGGGTCTCCCCCTCAACCCCCCCCACACCACCCAAAAGACCCCCAGAACTTTGGGTTTTCAGGTTTCCCGCTGTGCTGAGGGAAGCGCTGGGCCTGGAGGGGGCGGTAGCCCTCCCTGCAGAGAGGCCGCCGGAGGGGAGCCAACCAAGATGGCCTCTTGGTGGTCAACCCAGCAGAGGGCCAGCCTGGGGAGAGAGGCGGGGGTCGTCATCGTCGTGAGGGCAGCCGGGTCCTACTGTAGCTAGATCCCTTTTCCTGTACCTCACAGCTCATCCCAGCTTTTCTTCGTTCTTTCATTTTCAAATTAGAGGCAACAAAAGAGCAAAGCTTCATTGTGTCTCTTCAGACACATTGTGTCTTCAGACCCTGGGAGAAAGCCACAGGGTGGGCTGTGGCCTTGGTGGTGACACCCACACCCTCCTGTGAAGCCTGCTCTGTAGAAGGTGAAGGCCAGGCCGGGCGGGAGCTGTTGGCTGAGGCAGCCCGTTGGGGCCGATGGCGCTAGGAGTGGCCCTGGTCAGAGGGACAAGGAACCTGTGGCCGCAGCCTCCGCGCCGGTGAGGGAATTTGAGGCTCGGAACAGGGCGGGGGAGGGCTGGGGGTCAGGACGGTGGCGTGTGCTCAGCCGCAGCTGTGTGTATACGTCCACGCGGAAGTGTGCCACACCGTGACCTACACGTCAGCGTGTGTGGGAGCATGTGTGTGTAGAGCCCGCGTCTGAGCCAAGGGCCCACTCGTTCGGTATCCTGAGGCCTCGGGAGCGCTCTGCGCAGAGAGTTGTCATAGGGTGTGGGGGCAGAGGTGTTCCCAGCTGGGGCTCTGCTGTGCCCCGCGGACGCCTGGCAGCCCACGCAGCCAGCCCCGAGGGGCTAGACCTGCCGGGCCAGCTCTTCGAAGCATCCGGCCCTGAAGACGGTCTTCACGGGGAGACGTTTAGGGTGCCGGCGCCCCTCGCCTACGGGGCGGGGGGGGGGGGCATATCTGCAAAGAGCGTCCAGCGAAGTCGGAGACCAGGGTGGGGAGTGCCGTGGGTGGTGGATGAAAGATGGGCCAAATTCGTGTCCCAAGACCAAGGTCAAGCCCAGGGCATTTTCTTGTCCTCTGCCTCGGTTTACCTATTCAGAAAATGGTCCAGGGAGAACTGAGCAGGGCGGGGTGGAGGTGGAGAGAGGGCAGGGGGCTGATGACAAAGAAAATCCCAAGTCCTCCTCTTGCTCTATGCCAAAATTATTTCCGTTATCCGGAGATGGGGGTGTGTGGGTGTTGGGTGCATGATGGGGCTCCGAGGGGCCTCTGCCCTACCCAGGGCCTCGCCTCGGGGGGTCTGGCCCTCACCTGGCAATGCCCCGGGTCACCAGCAGCAGCAGTGGCACTCATCTGTCCCAGGGCCTGGGCGAGGGGGGAGCACTGGGTGACCCTAGGCCCCGGGGCCCTCACGCTTACTCTCTTTCTTGAAGAAACACAAAACCCTCGAGATTCATGTACTGTATGACGGAGAGAAAAAAAGTACCTAATGTCCCCCCCTCCCAAAAAAAAAGACAGTATATTTTGTACTTTGTAAAGTGTTAATTAAAATGGAGAAAAAAAATGGATGGTGGCTGATGGCTGGCTGATTTGGGGCTGATGTGGGACCACGTGTGCGATCCTTCCCTTCTCCACGCTGCGGTTGGGGGTGAGGGGGTGGAGGACAGGTGGCAGGTGCTGGGAGGAAGGAGACAAGGCTTCCGGCCCAACACCCAGAGTCTGAGGGAAGAAACGTCCCCCAGAGCGGCAGGGGCCGTATTGGCTGCCTGGTGCTGCGTAACAAGTTGCCCCCAAACTTAGCTTTAAACACGACTGTGGGGGGCGGGGGTGAGGTTTGTGGGTTGGGAATCCGAGCACAGTCAACAGTCCCGGCACAGAGACCCCCATGAGGCTGCGGGCGTCTGAAGTCTTGGCCAAGAGACCAGAGGCCCTACTTCCGAGCCTGGCAGGTTGGGCCCGGCTGCTGGCAGGAAGCCTGCTTGCTCCTCTCCGCGGGGGTCTCCCCACGGGGTGGCTTGGGTTTCCTCACGGGGTGGTGCCCAGCCTCCCCCAGAGCAAGGGACTCGAGGGCCAAGGTAGAGGCCAGAGCGGTTTTGTTCCTCCCAGGCCTCAGAATTCACGCGCCACCGCTGAGCACCATGCTGTCCTCCTACGGCCTGGCTCCAGTCTGACCCGGGAGGAGGCCGCTCAGGGGTGCGGAAACCAGCAGGTCAAGCTCTCGGGGGCCATCTTGGAGACTGGCCGCTACACCTGCCATTCCTTCCCAGACCTATGGCAGAGGTGGGGCCGGGTGTGGGGGTGGGGAGGGGAGGGCCCCCCCCAAGCCTGGAGCCCTGCTGTGGACACCACACCCCCCCACACCCCCAGGAAGGACTGCTCAGACAAGACACTGGAGGCAAGAGGGAGGGCGCGTGCCCAGCACCCCTCCCGTGAGCCTCTGGTGTCTGGCTCCTTGCTGCCTTGGAAGGTGGGCATTGGGGCTGCCTAGGCGTAAGAGAGGTCCAGACCTCTCTGGTATCTTCCATGGAAGGCAGGTGTGAGCAGGGCAAGGCTGAAGACCTATTCCTGTGCTTGGCCCCTCCCGCCCACCCCCACCCCACCTCACCCCTGCCCCTGGAGATTGAAGGGCAGGAGCAGGGGGCTAGAGCACTCTCCTACCACCCTGAGTTCCAAAAAGTTCTGCTGCTCTGAAGGCTTCTCCCTCTGGGGTCTGCGGACTGAACGCCCTCTCAGGCCTTCAGAGGATGACATCCATGGGGACCCAGGCCCAGTGCTGGGAGGGTCAGGAATGAGGGGACAGAAGCTGAGAAGAGACACCGGCACCGAAGAGGACTGTGGAGAGACTCTGGCATGTGGCTGCCACATTCCGACCAGCCTGGGGGACCAAACCCGACTGGAAGACGCTGGGTTTTAAGACCAATCCCAGGGCGTCCCTCACAAGTACCATGGTCGCTGTGTCCAAGATGGAGGTAATTACTGGATGTGAATCTGGGGTGGAAGACTTAAAACCATTTGACAGACGCTGCCCAGCACCATCACACCCTGCCCCTGAATGCCACTGGTGGGACCCCGGGCATGACCTTGACCTTCTAGGACACTCACCCTCTGGAAACCAGTAGGAGCTTTAAGATGTGTAGTTCACGGAGGACAGATTTCTGTCCTTCGCTGCTGGGGCGACGTGGGATGCGGCCCAACCATGAGTTTCAGGAAGGAAAACGACAAAGTATTTTCAATTTCTCTCTTTAGTTTATGGGAAATCTTTGCTGTAAGCTTAACAACTGCTTCTCTACAGAGAAGTGGAGGGAAGTCCCCAGGAGAGGGGTCCCAGGGCCGCACCCCCAGAGGCATCCTGGCTTATTTCTGGGGCCTCAGGTCACACACAGCAAGGAATTCTGCTTAACTAAGTACCGTTACACTTTAAGACTCTCAATTTCGGCTCAGGTCATGATCCCAGGGTCGTGGGATCGAGCCTGGCGTTGGGCTCCATGCCGAACTAGGTGCCTGCTTGGGATTCTTTCTCTCTCCCTCTGCCCCTCTCCCCCACTCTCTCTGTCTCCAAGATTAAAAAAACATTTTTTAAATGTTTATTTTCGAGAGAGAGAGAGACGTAGCATGAGTCGGGGAGGGGCAGAGAGAGAGGGAGACACAAAATCCAAAGCAGGCTCTGAGCTGTCAGCACAGAGCCCGACGAGGGCTCGAATTCACGAACCGTGAGATCATGACCTGAGCCAAGGTCGGATGCTCAACCGACTGAGCCACCCAGGCGCCCCGTCCACTTCCAACCGCAAAGGCCCCACGTCGCCAGCCCTTCCCCGATTTTTCTCCACGACCCACGTAACCATCTACCGTATTTTCCACCTTGCCTGTTTACTGTGTTCCACCCGGTGTGATGAACGGAACCTGGCAGATGGGGGGGTGGCTCACAGGAAGTATCTGTTGAGGGAGTGGACAAAAGGAAGGAGGTGTAGCCACTGGGCTCCCCGGTTTGCGACACGATCATCGTTTAGTTTTAGCTTCATTATTTTCTACCAGCTGAGCCATGGGAGGAGAGAGACCCCTACAGAAAACTCGCCTTCAAGCAGGACTGTCTTCTAAAGTTATCTGTCCCCAGCTTCTAGTTGTCTCTTTGTCCACAGCTCGGTTTCTGAAAGCTCGGCTCTAACTGAGCAGGTAAGATAGAAATAAAAGGCGTCTTCAGTGCTCAAAAATAAGGCAGAAAATAGGCTTTATTCCAAAAGAGAGTTCTAAAAGAGGTTTTTAAACAGAAGGACAAGTTATGTCACCAGCTCGGACATTCTCCAGGGCTTCTGGTCTCCTCCCTGGGCAGCCCTGTGGCCAGGCTGCGGCGGGATGGGCTCACTGCTCGCCCCAGCCGGGCGGGGGGCGGTGGGGCCCAGATGATTGAGTGGACACCCCGGGCAGCAGCCAGGCCGGGCTCGCCCTGATGCCCACATGCCAGCCGTGGGCCCGGCTGTGGTCGGAGGGTCCAGAAGGCCCCCTGGGACCACGCCGTCAGGCCCTGTTTACGATCAAACAAAATGGCACACCACAGAGCTAGGCGTTCCCCAGACCGGCTTCTCCGGCCAGAGGCGACCCCGGGGCTGTCATGTGTGGGTGACCCTCGCCCTGCCAGCGCCACGCGGCCTGGGACTCGTGTCACTGGTGCCTGGCCTGAACACAGCAGGTCCCCCGCCAGCTGGAGAGGAGACAGAGTCACAGGCCTTCTTCCAGGACGTTCCTGCTGAGGGCACCAGGAGAGCGCGTCACACTTCGCAAAGGGCTCCAGTCCCCTCCGACCCCCTGCTGAGCAGTCCAGGTGGTTCTGAGGCCAGGCCTGGGCTCGCACAGGTCTGGAAGTTGCATCAGATGAACGACTTGGCCAGAGTCACCATGTGGTCCACACCACACGCCATGTCCACGGGCTCCCCGGGCAGCGTCACCTGCAAAACAGGACCCAGCACCCCGTGAGGGGATGTGGCCAGCGGTGCGGGGCGGGGGGGAAGGTGGGAGGTGGACGGGCTTGGAGGAGGCCCACCTGGGCCTGACCCCGGCTCTGCCTCCTGGCTGGTGACTTAACCTCCCTGAGCCTCGGCTCCCTCCCCAGAAGTGGGGGTGCTTCTGCCTTGTTGGCAGGTGTGTGAAGATGAATAAATGCAATCACTGTGGAAAGTCATCCCAGCTCCTACCGGCCCACGGCAGACAGGACCCTTCGCACCCACCCACTGGAGAGGCCGCTGGAATGTGCCCGCCCCGCAGCCCACGCCCCGAGTGTGACCCTGCCAAGGGTCAGCACCTGCCCCCCACTCAGGTGCATGGTGGACCCCCCAGGACTCCCTGGAGCAGTTCGGAAACCCCTTCTCCTGCAGCCAGGCTCTGCCTGGGGCAGCATCTTCACCGAGTCAGCCACCTAGGTCGGCGATTTCCCCGATAACCTGCACCCGCCAACAAGGACGGTCACCGCGGGCCTCGTGGGACGTCCCATCAGCGCTGCCCAGCTGCACCAACATGTCACTGCAGGATGGTCCAACCCGCAAGGTGACATCAGGCTGATGGGGAGGCTCTGGCCTGCTGGCCTTCAAAAGGACTCACTGTGGGCGCCTGGGGAGCTCAGTCGGGTAAGCACCCGACTCTTGGTTTCAGCTCAGGTCATGATCTCATGGTTAATGAGTTCGAGCCCCGTATCGGGCTCTACGCTGACAGCATGGAGCCTGTTGAGGATTCTCTCACTCTCTCTCTCTCTCTCTCTCTGCCCCTCCCATGCTTGCACTGTCTTGGTCTCACTCAAAATAAACAAACTTAGAAAGAACTTTTAAAAATAAAAGAAAATGACTCTGATGGTTCTACAGGCTGTGGCCTAGGAAACGACCACCCCAACCGGCTCCGGGTGGGCCCGCAGCTCAAGGATTTGCCCATCCATCCCCATAGCCAAGCCTGTTCTCTGGAAGAGGGGCGCTTTCCTTCCTCCCGTTACACTATTTTTTTTTTTTTAATGTTTTATTTATTTCTGAGAGAGAGAGAGACAGCATGAGCAGGGGAAGGTCAGAAAGAGAGGGAGACACAGAATCTGAAACAGGCTCCAGGCTCTGAGCTGTCAGCACAGAGCCTGACACGGGGCTCAAACCCATGAACCATGAGATCATGACCTGAGCCAAAGTTGGATGCTTAACCAACTGAGCCACCCAGGCGCCCCTCTCCTGTTACACTATTATCATTATTTTCAAGAAGCAAGCCACTCGCATGGCTGCACCACAGAATGACATTCCGTGAAAAAGAACAATAAGGTATTAAATACCTTCTTCCTCCTGATTTTATTTTTAAGTAATCTCTACGGCCAGTGTGGGGCTCGAACTCACAACCCTGAGCTCAAGAGTTGCACGTTCTTCCTGCTGAGCCAGCCAGGCGCCCTGGTATGAAATACCTTTTTTAGGTTTGTTTATCAAGTGTTTATTTATTTATTTTGAGAGGGAGGGGGGAGCGAGCAAGCATGTGCATGTGGGGGAGGGACAGAGAGAGAGAACCCCAAGCAGGCTCTGCACCTTCAGCACAGAGCCCGATGCCAGGCTCGAACTCACGAATCAAGAGATCATGACCTGAGTCAAAACCGAAAGTTGGATGCTCACCCGAATGCGCCCCCTGGGTGCTCCTTAAATCTCTTTTCGTCCCACCCTGTCAGCATCTGCCCCTTGGTCCCCACCTTTCCCCTGAACTGGATTTTTCACTGGACCCCACCCTCCTTCCAGACAGGATGCTGCTGCTGCTCTGTGTGACCCGATCCAAATTCTGCCACCCTCCCCTGGTGGCGGCCCTCCACCAGGCAGCGCGACAGCCAGAGGGGGGTCCATAACAGCCCGTGGAGCTTACTGAGCTCAAGGGTGGGAGGGCGCCATCCAGATGGCCTGGCCTAAAGGCCCAGAGGAGAAGCGCCGGCCCCTCTGCGTGCGGAGACGAGTCCATTAGGGGCTCCTGGCCAGCAGGCAAATGGACGCGAGTAGCTGCGTCGCGCCACCTGCCATGCCCTCCCTAAGCAAACATCTCCAGCAACACCAGTCACAGAAGGCACTGATGGAGGCGCAGAGAGCACTCCAGGCTGGCCACGGAGGCAGAGGAGGACAGGCTGCCTGTGTGGTGACAGGGCCTGGACGAACTCCTAGCAACCCTCCTGGGCCATTAGAGCGCATCGTGTTGACCTCCCTGGGGAGGCTGCCGCCCTCAGCACTAATCTGTCCCCAGGCTGCGGCACGTGAGCACCTGCATTCTTGCTCCTCGGGCGCTCTGGCCATTAGGGCCCCGAGCGGGGTCCACCACCGGCCCCAGTGTACGGGCCGGGGGGGCCGGTCAGGGCTGGGGAGCAGCGGGGTCCCTGCGGCCGCACTCCCCCTGGCGCACAAGGGCTCAGCTCTCAGGGTATCTGAGCAAAGTCCGAGAGAGACTGCTCTCTGCTGTATGTTCTGTGTCGTCAACAAGGTTCAAGTTTCTAGTCTAAATCACTTCACACTCACAACAGAGTTACTGCAAAGAGAAATGGATCCCAAAACTGAACCACATCTGACCTGAAGGACTCTTAAAAGTTTGAGCAGAATCCTTCAGGAACATTCCTCTTCACAACGACAAGGTGGTAAGACACACATCCACGGGAGAAGGCTGGGAGGGAACACCGGGCTGGGCCCCCGGCTACTCCCCGACCTGGCTGCGTCTGCAGGGTCCCCTGTGGCAGCAAGAGGTCATTTCCCCCAGACGCACTCCTGGGGCCTAGAGCCCGTCTGCCAGCCCACGCGCCCCAACCTGGTCCTGACCCGAGGGGCACATGGCAAGGGGCGGCACCGTCTGCACACGGAGCCCCATGTTCGGGTCGCAGCCCGCCTTCTGACTGGCCCTGAGACGGGGCAGCCCCTGGATCCCCAGTGAGCGTAGCTGCAGGGGGGTGGGGGTGGGGGCTTCGCAGGGTGTCTCAAGGCTGAGGGGGAAGAACAGCAAGGTCCCGGCACAGCAGACAGCCGCCTCTCAGGCACACAGCGACTCTGGTCTGGAAAGAGCACCCAGGAGGGCGAGGAGGGGCTGCCCCAGTGGCCCGTTCCCATGTCCTCAGCGCCGCCACAGAGGTGGGAGGGTCCTGGACAGACCTGGGCGGTGAGCGCCCACCTCTCCCCACCGCTGCGGACCTCAGTCTCCAGCTCCAGGCCTTCGCAGAGGGCAGCACAGAGAAGAGACCACGGTCTCAAAGGTGGACACGTCGGAGCCTGAATCTGGGCCCTGCTGCTCACAGGATGAGCGGCCCAAAGAAGTCACCAACCCTCTCTGAGCTCTGAGTGTCCGTGTGCAGCAGGAAAAGCTCCCTGGAAAGCTTCCGGAAGGACAGGGTTTTGAATCGGGTGGCTCTGCTGTCACTCCCTGGGCCTTCATACTGTCGGAGAAGGCCGGGCTCTGTGCGTCCACAAGCAAGACTTAGTGCCCATTGCAGGAGCTGCAGGGAAGGCTCTACTGGTTTCCTTCCCCTCCTGGAAGCCTTTTTTTGTTTTTCTTAATGTTTATTTATTTTGAAAGAGCAAGCACGAGCAGCAGAGGGGCAGAGAGAGAGGGAGACAGAGAACCCCAAGCAGGCTCCATGCTGTCAACACAGAGCCCAATGCGGGGCTCAATCTCACGAACAGTGAGATCATGACCTGAGCAGAAGTCAAGAGTTGGACGCTTAACCAGTTGAGCCGCTCAGGAACCCCTACCTTCTTGGCATACTTTTATTTTTTTATTTTTTATTTTTTTTAAATTTTTTAATGTTTTATTTATTTCTAGAAGAGAGAGAGAGAGAGACAGCATGAGCAGGGGAGGGTCAGAGAGAGAGGGAGTCACAGACTGAAACAGGCTCCAGGCTCTGAGCTGGCAGCCAGCACAGAGCCCGACGCGGGGCTCGAACCCACGAACAGCGAGATCATGACCTAAGCGAAAGTCGGACGCTTAACCGACTAAGCCACCCAGGCGCCCCTTGGCATACTTTTAAATGATAGAACAGTTCCCCCTCCAAAAATTAATAAGAAAACACAGTTTTTAAAATAAAAATCGCCTGTAATTTTAAAAACCATGAAAGGGGCGCCTGGGTGGCTCAGTCAGTTAAGTGTCCGACTTCGGCTCAGGTCATGATCTCACGGTTCATGGGTTTGAGCCCCACGTCGGGCTCTGTGCTGACAGCTAGCTCAGAGCCTAGAGCCTGTTTCAGATTCTGTGTCTCCCTCTCTCTCAGAAATAAAAAAACATAAATTTTTTTTTTTTTTAATTTTTCAATGTTTTATTTATTTCTAGGAGAGAGAGAGAGAGCGTGAGCAGGGGAGGGTCAGAGAGAGAGGGAGTCACAGACCGAAACAGGCTCCAGGCTCTGAGCTGGCAGCCAGCACAGAGCCCGACGCGGGGCCCAAACCCACGAACCGCGAGATCATGACCCAAGCGAAAGTCGGACGCCTAACCGACTAAGCCACCCAGGCGCCCCTAAAACATAAATTTTTTTTTAAAAAACATGAAACCAGGGGCTCCTGGCTGACTGCACGGAGCCTACTTGGGATTCTCTGTCTCTGTCTCTCTCTCTCTGCCCCTCCCTCCCACCCCCTCAAAAATAAACATTTAAAAAAAAAAAGTGAGTGCAACTAGGAACAGACCAGAGTGAAGTCTAACTGCTAATAAGAGGCTGATGTGATCTTGAAGGAATGCAGCCCCGCTGACCCTAAAGCTGGTCCCTGCCACTGCCCTCCCCAGAGTGCAGCCTGGCAGCTGGGGCCACAGAGAGCAGGGACGGCCAGGCGCCCAGCACCTCCCTCCATGCTGCTCTCGGCCGCCGGCCCTCCCAGCCCTGCAGATGAGTCAGGCTCAGCACACGGGCCGGGGAAGGACAGCGGCCTGGCAGCCGTCAGGGGGACGGAGAGAGCCCGCTGGCCACTGACCGGCTATCCACCCCTCCCACCTCAGGGGACAGGCGAGGGAGCTCTGAGGAGCTCCAGTGCACAGCCGTTCCCCCGCCAGCACAAAGCCTCCGGATCTGCCCCGTGTTCTTAGAGGCCGCGCAGCACTTCTCTAAAGGCCTCAGGGCCTGGCGAGGTCACAGGGAGCAAGGACAACCAGCCACCAGGGAAACAGCCCCTAAAATGCTCAAGTGCCTCCAAACATTTTGCAGGGCGGTTTGGACACAGGCAAATCCTTATTATTTTATCTAAGTTATAGATTCCTTTTGCTTTTTCACATGCAGTTTCAAAACATGCTTCACACAATTTCAAAACCCATTATTTTTTAATTAAAAAAAATTTTTTTTTGAGAGAGAGCGCATGAGCAGAAGAGGGGCAGAGAAAGGAGGAGGGAGAGAGAGAATCTTCAGTAGGCTTCACACTGGGTGGAGCATGGGGCTCAGTCCCATGACCCGGGGATCATGACCTGAACTGAAATCAAGAGTCAGACGCTCGGCTGACTGAGCCACCCAAGTGCCCCTCAAAACACATTATTGGGGTGACTGTGTGGCTCAGTTGGTGAAGCGGCCGACTTCGGCTCAGGTCATGATCTCACAGCTCCAGAGTTCGAGCCCCGCATCGGGCTCTGTGCTGACAGCTCAGAGCCTGGAGCCTGCTTCTGATTCTGTGTCTCCCTCTCTCTCTGCTCCTCCCCTGCTCGCAATCTCTCTCTCTAAATAAAAAAATATTAAAAAAAATTTTTTTAAAAACCCACATTATTAAAATCCAACCTTCAAAGAAAACATTTAAGCCATGTACACACACACACACGCGTGCACACACACATGCTTCTCTACGCAGAGACTGTAGACTGTTCTAGAAGGGAACATAAGAAACCAGTGCCAGAGGCTGCCTCTGGGACGAGACGTGAGGACTTATTTTTTACGTCTTGTACCATGTACATTTGGTCTGTTCTCAAAAATATGAACAGCTTTTGCTGTTTTTCAGAACTTAGTAAACAACATGGAGATAAACTACAGTTTAAGAGAGAACTTTTCCCCTTTAATTTTGAAACGAGCCTTTTTTGTATAATTGCATTGTCCCCCTAAGAAAAACTTTTACTGTTTTCACCCTGGTGGCTGTGGTTAAGGCACTCCAAATGTTAAACATCCTGCCTTCTTCTGAATCCGCCGTCACACTCCCTGGGCACAGGCCCCTGCATGCGGCCCCAACACCACCGCCAGCTCCTGTCCCTCCTTGGTGGGGCCCCGCTCCACGCGCCCACAGCCGGCCTCTCCAGAGGCCTCTCCCGGGGCACCGAGGGACCGGAGGCCTGGCCCCAGGACGGAGCCAAGGGCAGCGAGGAGCTGGTGCCGGGCGCCCCTCCAGCTCCCCACCACGACTGGCCTCAGCCAAAGCAGGGCAGTAGGGGGCGGCCGGGACCTGGGCCGGGGAGTGGGTCCCACAGCCCTGGCACCCGCCCAGCTCCACGCTGGGCACCGCCGCCTTCCGGGGGGTGGGGGGGACCTCGCTGTGCGTGCCCTGAGCCCGCCCCGCACGGCCTTACCCTCCAGGGGAAATACTGGTCTTCCAGGCGACCGATGCCCAGGCAGCCTCGGATGTTCTTGCCCCACACGAACAGCTCCCCTCTGTCTGCAAAGAAAGGAGAAGGTCAGCTGGGAGGGGGCCGGGCCTTGGGCAGGAGGAAGGGTCATGAGGACAGGCTTTCCGGTACCAGCAGTGCCCAGCGTGACAGGTCAGCTTCTCCCGGGCACCGTCCCCACACCAGGACACGGTCACGCCCAGACCCCCGCCGCGTCCGTCCCTCGGGGGCTAGCACGAGTGTGTGGCTCCGGCCACAGCCCACTCTGCTCACCCCTGAAGCATACCCCCCAAACCTTGAAAGCCGAGCACCCGCAAACCCCGGTCATGCCCTGACAGAGTGAGCAGTAGGATGATTTCACTCCTCGCCTGGGTTTCAGTCTCTATCTCAGGAGCGTCTGGTCAAGAGACAGAGTGACCAGGGCCTCCCTGGCCAGGTCTTCATGTGTGTGCTGGGGGCTGAGACGGGGCAGCGACTGATCACGCACAGTCCCTGTCCTCACGGGGCTGGAGCTACACATAAACAGATGAGCCGACCGCACTGTAAGAGGGCAGGGTTACAGACTGTAAACCACGCCGCAGAGGAGGGCAGACGGGGCGATGCCCCCAGCCCAGCCGTCGCGTCAGACTCCTGTCCACACCAGTGTGGGGCGCGCTCTGACACGGAGACCCCATTTCCGGCAAAAAGGCTTCGTTCGCGGGGATGAGAACCAAGGCCGCCACAGAGAAGCCGGGACGATAATCCGGGCTGGTTAAATACCGAGTCCTTTCGTTCCGGGCTGGCAGAGCCCCCCGATCTGACCATCCTCCTGGGTCCTCCAGCCTCAGCTTTGAGGTGTTCGACAGACCAATTCAGTCTGGGCCCCCAAAAGGTTGGCAGACCTCAGGGTAAACCAACCAGCGCCGACTCCCAGCTGGCCGGATGCAAATGCGGGGCCCAAGGGCAGGCGCTGGTGCTCCCCCACCAGGAGACGTTGACCCACACGCGCAGGGGTGGCTTAGTAGCCACACGGCACAACAGCAAACAGAAGGCAGTCGACCCCAGCCGAACACCTCATGTGCACCTCCAGGCACGCGACTCTGCGCCGGACAACACCCTGCGCCACAACCGCGCTCGCGGGTTCTCGTCACGTGACTCAGGACAACGCCAACCTGCCGTCCCAGCCCAGATGCTTAAAAAACAAAACAAAACAGAAAAAGGAACAAAAACAAACCAATTTCCTAACTGTGAAACGAAAAGAGTTTCTAATTGCAAGGAAACAGTGCGATGACCAGAGAATCACAACACAAAATCGAGTTCAGTCTTGCTACTGGACTAACGGGGGGGGGGGGGGTCACCCCGGTTCGAGGGAAGCACGCATGCTTGAGGGCCGCAGTCACGGGCTACCTCCTGGCTCTGTCGCCTGGCCAACCTTTGCGCAAACCCCCATCTCGGCCTCCCCTGCGATCACCTCCCCTCCTCCGGGCCCTGGGGGGTTAGGGGAGCAGGGCAGACTCACCTCCCCAAACCCACACGATGGGCTTACAAACTTGCCTCCCGCCATGTGACCCCCCCCCCCCCGCCCCCCCCCCCACCGCCTCACTACCCACCGAGGACTCGCCAAACCTCCTCTGGTCTCCTCCCACCTCCCCAACACGCTCGAGGGTCCCCTCTCCCCCCACCCACCAGTGTCCTCTTGAGAGGACTCACTTTAATGTTAGCCTGACCACAAACCAGATGAACCAAAAACACAACTCTGGGATGAAGAGAAGACACACATCCTACGTCCTCAAGCCAAATGCCTCCTGGATCAGCCGCGCTCTTTAATTACCCACGCGGGGTCGCTGCCCCACTGCCCAGGGAGACTGCTAAGCTCCCTGCCCATCTTTGGGGCTGCGCGGGCCCCTCACTTACTGGTCAGGGCGGCAAAGTGGCTGAGGCCACATCGAATGAGGGAGACTTGGACTTCTGGGTTGAACTCCGTCAGGCCAAAGAGGGTGGGTGGAATCATTTCTGGAAGTGCGGTTTCCACAAGGTTTGGTCCTTTCCCAAGAATTCCGTAGCCCCAGACAAAAACATGTCCTTCTCCTACATTACAGCAAAAACAACGGTCAGTAAGTCAAACCACGTGCAGCCGGCCCTCACGAGAAATCCAGACCGTACCACCAAGACCCATTACAGCCCCATAGGCTTTCCCCTCTCCTTGCTTGGCAAGAATATAGTGACAGACACTTAAAATAATGTTTCTTTTCTCCTCTTTCTAATTCTGGCTGGTGGTGGACGTCTAGCTGGCTGGCCCATCTCAGGATACAAATCCCCCACATCTTGAGGGTAACCCAGATGGGATTAGCTCATCGATCACCCAGAAGCCCCGTGAGCACAGGGGTGGCCCAGAGGATGGTTTTCGCCATGCTGACACTCTACGTTTTGAACCGATCGGGAGACCAAGCCAAGTACACAAAGCACTCTGGCCAGATTTCTGCAAGTCTCAGAAATGATTATTTTGGTCATAAAAGGTTTAATCCCAGGGGTACAAGCCTCGGTATCCAGACCCTACGGCCCTTCTCCTACCTGCCTTTATTTCCCGGCACAGCCTTGCTGGGGAAGGCTCTGGCCCAGGGTAAGGGGGAGGGAGAAATAGTTCGTTCCCCACTCCAGAGGCCGCTGTAACAGAGGCTAGAATGACTGTGTTCGCTTGCTGTCAATTTGTCTACATCTGAATCGCTGTTACCCTCCTGTCAACAAGTCACCCCCACCCTCGATTAGCTGAGCCCAGTCTGGCTGGACCTCCCCTGAGCTGCGCCGCTCCCGCTCCCTCAGGCTGAGCTCTACGGCCGTGACGCCAAGGGACCCTGACCCTTCTCCCGCCCAAGGCACCGACAGCTTCCCCACGAGCCGCCCACAGGAGGGTCTCACCATTTAACACAGCGCAGCCCGTACCACCGCATGCAGCCTGCTTCACCCTCCCCACTCCGGAGAACGGCAAACACCGGGGCACATTCACCTGAATCAAAGCAAGAGCCACACTGTCAGGAAGGCAAACTCAGAACGTTCTGGCTCATGGACAAAACAGGGGAAGTCCCAGTTTGTTCATTCCATCTACGAATATTTCATGAACGTCCAGGATAAACTAAACATCTATCTAACCGGGCCTTGAGGATCCGACAGGGAGCGGGCGGCGCGGGCCCTCTCTCAGAATGGAGTCCGGTGGAGAAAGCAGAGGCCAGTCAGAACTGACATGAAATGAATCTGCACTGAGGGGAGCCCAGGGTCTCCAAGAGCAAACGTCGGGGCGCCGGGTCTAGTTAACGGATGGGAACGGACAGGGAAGGGCTGGCAAGGCGTCGTTTGATCCTGTGACCTGAAGGGTGAACAGAGCTAAGCAGGAGAGGGGACATCCCAAGGAGCGGAGGTGGCATGCACAGGAGTCTGAACTCCTTCGGGGAGTCTGAACAAGGTTGGGGAGGGGGGTACGGAGCACGAGCTGGTGAGAAAGGAAGCCAGAGCAGCAAGACCCAGGACCGCAGGCCCCAGTAAGGGGCTGGCCTTTATCCTGAGCACAGCGTGGGGCCAGCAAGGTTCGCAGGAGAGGATGCGCTTTCAGATGTGGACAGCTGGAGGGTGACAGTCCCTACGTGGACTTGAAAGGCATAAAGGGCCTCACTGATCCAGAAAACATCTGCCTGGACGAGGCGAGGCTGCCAGAGTCACTACCTGACTGTGCTCTGGCATGATGCCCTCTGCAGATGCCGAGAAGCACCGGCGCAGGGCCCCTGGGAACACACCACTGCCGGCCCAATGGGATGAGGCTCGGGCCACGGTCAGAGTCAGAGCCGTGGTGCACTGCTTCCAAGACAGTCCCAGGATTTTCACCCCCCCACCCCCCTCCCCCGCTATGCACACCCCCACGTCACCCTGCCCTCGTGGGGGCCAGACCCTGTGACTGGTTTCAGACGAGCAGAATGCCAAGGAAAGGGAGGGGAGGTCACTGCCAAGACAAGATGATCAACGCTGGCACCCTCTCGCCCTCTCATTCGCCTGCCCTGAGGAAGATGGCTGCCAGGTTGTGCGCGGCCACGCGGAGAGGCCAGGAACCCAGGCAGGCTCGGCCGACCGGTAGTAGCTGGCTAACCGCCAGCGCACAGCCTGGGCTCTGGTCCAGCAGTCCATGAGGAGCTGTATCCTGCCCACACATGCTGGGGGCGGGGTGAGGGGGGATCCTGGCAGCGGGACCTTCGCCCGCTGAGCCCCACGATCCCTGCAGCCCTTGAGGGACCAGGGCCAGAAGACCCTGCTAGGCTGCCCTGGATTCCTGAACCACAGAAACTGCGAGAGAATAAATAAATGTATGCTGGTTTTAACTACTAAGGTTTGGGGTCATCTGATAGGCAGCAGTAGCAATGCCACGACACTGGACATGTCCTCCCCCCACCCCAGGAAGGCCGGGGGACACATTTGACTCAGGAAGAGCAACACTCTTCTGGAAATCAGTATTTGTCGGTCTTATAGAAACAAAGAATCATTTACATGGGTGTGTTTTCTTCTCTGCTTTGGCTGCTAGGAAGCTCAGAACCAAATCTGCAACTACTTCTGGCCACTATGCCAGACCCCATAAGATGCGTTAGCATCTTATTCACTGGCTCTTAGTTTCTCTCCATGCTGATCTCTTTATTAAAATGCATTTAAAACCCTCTGTACACTGTCAGCAATTTGGTGATATTAAGGAATAAAGGGTATTTTTAAAACAGTCCTTATCTTTTATTTTTAAGCTTATATATTTATTTTGAGAGACAGAGAGCAAGGTGCAGGCAAAGAAGAAAAGAGAAAGAGTCCCAAGCATTGGAGCCTGACGCAGGGCTCGATCTCATGACCTTGAGATCATGACCTGAGCCAAAATCAAGAGTTGGGCACTTAACTGACTGAGCCCCCCAGGCGCCCCAGTCCTTATCTTTGAGAAATATATATGGAAACTTTTATGGATAAAATATGATGTCTGGTCTGGGGGTGTCTGGGGGGCTCAGTCGGTTAAGCGCCCAACCCTTAGTTTCATCTCAGGTCACGATCTCACGGTTTGGGAGTTTAAACCCCACGTCAAGCTCTGGGCGGACAGTGTGAAGCCTGGTTAGGAGTCTGTCTCCCTATCTCCCTTCCGCGCGCGCTCTCTCTCTCTCTCTCTCTCAAAAATAAACTGGTGGCACCTGGGTGGCTCAGTCAGTTAAGCATCCAGCTTCGGCTCAGGTCATGATCTCACAGTTCGTGGGTTAGAGCCCCGCGTCGGGCTCTGAGCTGACAGCTCAGAGCCTGGAGCCTGCTTCAGATTCTGAGTCTCCCTCTCTCTCTGCCCCTCCCCTGCTCATGCTTTGTCTCTCTCTCCTTAAAAAATGAATAAACATTTTAAAAACTTTAAAAAATATATAATAAATGAACTGTGTATACATATATATATATGATCTAGGACTTACTACAGAATAACCCAGGGCAGAGAAGCAGACGGTGACAAAAACCAGCCAGTAGGGGCATGGGGTTTTGGGGGGGGAGCATGACAGGGAAAGAAACTTCTGGAATGAGAGCACTGTACATACAACCAGTGACTCCGCTGAAACTCACAAAATTCTACCCTTGAAAATGGTGAATTGTGTCTCTGTTTTTAATGGGCCATTAGTTGAACGCGGGTGAGGGATACAGAGATTAATCACGGGCTCTACTGTTGGTTTTTATCTGCAATTTCCCTTAACGTTTAAAATCCTGCTGTACGGTACTGATTGATGGTGGCTCCCTCCAGTGAGGAAGAAGGAGCGGTGACCAGAGAGGCCACAGGCCGTGGTTTCTGAGGTACTCTGGGTGTCCCACGGCTTGGGGCGGGGGGTATTGGGGGCACAGGCATCCCCATCCAGGTGCGCACTCGGGATCTGCGTCCTTTCTGGGCACACATTTCACTGCAGTAAAAAGCACAGGGCAAGCCCACGGGAATGACATAACCAGCCTTGTACCCCTCTTGGACTGGGGTCTGAGGACAGCCTAACAGCCTGCTCTGGACCAGGACAGTTGCGTTGAAGGGTCAATAACGACGGCTTTGTACCCGAGCTCTCTTTCCAGACTCCAAGGAGATGGCCAAGAAGAGGCAGTCCTACAGGTGGCCAGGCCTTCAGGGCACTTCCTGTGCCGCGCTTTGCTGAAGAGCCTCTTATAAGCGCCCTCAACACTTGGTCAGCTCCAAGCCTCCCCACCCAGCCGTAACCGCATACCTGTGTGGAGTCGGTGACAGAGGCCAGCTGCAGGTACTCGGAGTTCCCCCAACCGAAGAGGCCGCCCTCAGCAGACACGGCCAGGCAGCAGTCGCCATACGTGGCGACCTGGACGATGTGCGCCCCAGCCAGGTCTCCGCCCAGCTTGGTGGGCACGCTGGTGATATTGTAGTGACCCAGACCTAACACGGGGGGAAAGCGTCACTCTCGGTTATCGACTCTGGGAACAAACCCTTTCGTAGACTTACTAGGCGCCACGCACAGTTTTGAACGCTTTACAAACGTCAGCTGGGAAACGCATATCTGTTCCCATGCACGCTCTCTGCAGTGTCCTTCACGCTCACTCAGAGCAGGATAAACACGTAACAGTAATTGTTCATTTTTAAAACCCTCGAGACTGAGTCTGAGTCAAGCAAGAAACCTTTGCAAGATAGGATACCGCTATGGTGGGGCACCTGGGGGGCTCAGTCGGTTGAGCATCCAACTTCAGCTCAGGTCATGATCCCGTGGTTTGTGGGTTCAAGCCCTGTGTCCAGCTCTGTCTGTGCAGACGCTCAGAGCCTGGAGCCTGCTTCGGATTCTGTGTCTCCCACTCTCTCTGCCGTTCCTCCCTGACTTGTCGCCCCCTCCTCTCTCTCTCTCTCACTCAAAAATAAATAAACATTTTTTTTAAATGAAAATAAACCAGGCTTCCGCAAAGGGACCCAGAGCAGCGTCAGACTGACAGCACCCCTTCGCAACAGACAAAAGCAAATCCGAATCCTCTCCGGAGGGAGGCAGCTCCAATTTAGGCCCTGAGAATTTCTGCAAATTCAATTCGGTGAAATATGAGCCCCCAGTCAAAACTTACTAAACACATAAGGCAGGATGCCTCTATGAGTCAGAGAGTAAACTGAACCAATTGACGGCCTCTGGTTTTAGACCCTGCGATCATGATACACAAAATAAAAATAACACTGTGTGCAGTGTTCAAGCAAGCAAAAGCAGGAATATGAGGCTATCGAAAACGGCCAGGTGAATCTGAAAAGAAAGCAATAAGCAATGAGAAAAAAGACGGTTAAAATTCAAAATCCAAACGGATGGACAAAAAAGCAAGGCACCATGTGGGAGAAAACACACGCAACACAAAGAATACGGATCAGGATAAAGAATTCCTAATGTTCAATAAGCAAAAGACACAAGAGTCAACAAATAAGCAAAGAACAGCACATACATTTCAGAGAGGAGAAAATCCGACTGGCTTATAAACGTATTAAAAGGCAGTACCTCTCCAGCAGTTTTTAGGAAAAAGCAAATTCAAACCGCAGCAAGAGACCACGTTGCACCCATGAGACAGAGGAACGCTTCGACGCAGACAATCCCCGGCGCTGGCCAGGCAGGCACCACCCTGTGGCCGGGGGCGACTGGTTACAACTATTTTGGAAAACAGCCATTTGAAAGCAACTATAACCCACGGCCACTCACAGCATCTTCACGAGAGCAAGTAGAGCTGTCGAACATGCGACCCAGAAGACCTTCACATGGCCAGGGAAGTACTGCTTGACAGGCGACAAAACACTGTAACCCACCCGAATACCCATCAACACGGACCTGAATAAACGGAGGTCTATTCCATGCTGCGATGTCATACAGCTATGAAAAAGGACTGCGTTCAGCAAAGGAGCAGAATACAAAATCAACACACAAACATCAACCGCCTTTCTACACACTAACAGTGAACGACCCAAAAAACAAAATTAAGGGGCGCCTGGGGGGCTCCATTGGTTAATCCTCTGACTCTTGACTGTGGCTCCGGTCATGATCCCAAGATCATGGGATGGAGCCCAGTGTCAGGCTCTGTGCTGAGACTGGATCATCTGCTTAAGATCATCTCTCTCTCTCTCTCTCTTTCTCTCTCTCTCTCTCTCTCTCTCCCCCTCTTCCCCCTGCCCCCTGCCCCTATTCGTGCTCTCAAAAAAAAAATTGTTTTAATTAAAAAAGTTTCTAAACAAGAAAAAGTTTATGTATACATGATAAATGTCGTAATATCTTCAATGACCCATACTGTGTTTCATTCCCCTAGCCGCAGCCAAAAAGCCTGTCTCCTGACAACAGGGTAATGATTAAGTAGTTATTTGGTGAGTGATGATGAATTCACCTTACCGTAAACTAGCCTGATGCCGTATCATACAAATATTGAACAGCACAGCTGTGAAAACTGTACCAACAAAATTTAAATAAGACGAGCACACAAAATCACACCTGTGCTATGATTACAATATAAGAGGTGTGCACGCGTGAACAACGACCGGAAGAAAACACGGAACGGTGAACAGAGGGGATTTGATGCAGTGGTAGGATGACGGAGGAGGATTTACACAGCATTTAAATCTTAAAGTGTGAAAAACAAAACAGAACCCACAAGAAAATAAATAAATCTTAAATGTGAAGGCCCTCCCTTCAGACAAATACCAAAATGACAAAAGGATTAGATAAGCAAGGTTAATACAGCTTGTCCCTCATTCCCCCGCCCTTAATCACATTATCCAAACAGTTCAGACCCAGCTCCCTTTATTTTTTTTTAATTTTTTATTTATTTCTGAGAGAGAGAGACAGTGTGAGCAGGGGAGGGTCAGAGAGAGAGGGAGACACAGAATCTGAAACAGGCTCCTGGCTCTGAGCTGTCAGCACAGAGCCCAACACGGGGCTCGAACCCACGAACCGTGAGATCATGACCTGAGCCAAAGTTGGACGTTTTACCGACTGAGCCACCCAGGTGCACCGACCCAGCTCCCTTTAGATGGCATTTGTGGATCCGTTTGTTGAGGAGCCTCCTGTAACCCTGGACCCAACCCTTTATGGGTTGTTCACCTGGGAGCCGGGGACGAGGGGAAAGAGAGAGAAGAGTCTAAGGAAGGCGGGGTCTGGCCCACAAGAGCCCTACAGCCCATGGCCCCTGGTGCAACCCCCACCCTGGGGGTAGGTCCACTACCTGTTTGCCCGTCGGCACCCCAGCCGCAAGAGTACACCTCTCCTTTATCCGTTAGGAACAGGCTATGGTCCTGGCCACAGACAACCTGTTGGACAGACAGGGAGGTGGTGATGGGAAGCCAAGCCACGGGAGCCCGGCGCCCCGGGGGATGGAGCCAGAGCTCGCCACACGCCCTGCGGCGCCCACACAGCGGCACGACCAGGTCCAGGGAGGCTGCCCAGCTCGGCCTGCACATCTCAGTCGTGCTCAGTCCACCGCAGCCCGGCGTCTGTCCCCCATTCCCCTAAACTGCTCCTGCCACAGCCGGTGTCAGACGTCCCCAGGAGCCCTTCTCCTCCACACCATCCCTCAGGAACCTCCGCCTCCTCCACAAGCCTTTCTTTTCCCCATTCTGCTCCTCTGCCTCCCTGCTGGCATCCGATCTTTGCCACTGAGTCACCACTACCCTTCCAAGCCCTAGGCTGCACCCTCCTCCTGCCACAAAACCTTCCCTACTGCCCAGCCCAGCCCCGGTCTATCTGATACACCTGCCCTCCCTTCCTTTCCCCTCCTGGGAGACTTAACAGTTCTGTGCTCAGAGCCCTTCCTGTACGCATGCGTACATGGAAGGATTTATTTATTACTGAAGGATTTATTATAAACACCCACCGTATGCCAGGCACGAGCCAGATGCAGCCAGCCCAGGACACATGCACAGCGCTGGGAGGCACTGTGACACAGCCAGCCTCACCTTCTCTGCCCCCTTGAGTGTCATCCCCCAACCCATATTACACTCTGTACCCCTTAACCTCGTGTAAATAACACTCTCCTCACCTACAAGAGGCAGGCAATACTTTTTACTAAAATCACTCACTTACTCAAAAAACTGTCCTAAGCAATCTGCCGTCACCCCACCCAGCTTTCACCCCTGCAAAGGCACCCCCAGGGGCCAGACAAGTGGCTCTCAGCACGCGTCTCTTACCTGGACCACCTGTCCCTCGAAGTCCTGCAGTCTAGTGACTTTGTGACTTTCGCTGGAGCGGGGAGCAGTTGGGGAGAAACGAGATGCGGTCACGGGAAGTGCTGTGTGGTTCTGCCCCCTCTACGCCCCCTAGTGGCAGCCCCCCACAGGCACACAATAACTATCAGGGAAACTCTCAAGGTCAAATATAAGGCAGGGGTAACACTAAGCACGAAAGTAAAACAAAACAACAAACCTCTGGTGATTTTCTTTTTTTAAGTAGGCTCCACACCCAACATGGGGCTAGAACTCACGACCCTGAGATCAAGAGTCACACACTCTACTGACTGAGCCAGACAGGTGCGGCCCCCCCCACCCCCGCCCCACCTTTGGCGACTTTTAATATGATGTCAGAGGGGACACTGGTGTTTAGACCCAACAACATTATGTGAGGATGGAGAGGGAAATTTTTTTAAAGACTAAAATAGGGGCGTCTGGGTGGCTCAGTCAGTTAAGTGTCCAACTTCAGCTCAGGTCATGATCTCACGGTTTGTGGGTTCGAGCCCCACAGCTGGCTCTGTACTGACAGCTAGCTCAGAGCCTGGAGCCTGTCTTCAGATTCTGTGTCTCCCTCTCTCTCTGACCCTCCCCTGCTCATGCTGTCTCTACCTCTCTCTCAGAAATAAATAAAACATTAAAAAAATAATAAAGACTAAAATAAACAAGGGATGCCTGGCTGACTCAGTCAGAAGAGCATGCAACTCTTGATCTCAGGGTTGTGAGTTCGAGCCCCACACTGTGTAGACAGATTACTTAAAAATAAAATCTTTAAAAATTTGTGTAATAAATAAATATATAAAATCTTGGGAAAAAAAGACTAAAATAAATAAAGACAGAACAGAGAGGAGGTGGTTGGGTGGCTCGGTTGGTTGAGCATTCAACTTCAGCTCAAGTCATGATCTCATAGTCCGTGGGTTCAAGACCCACATTGGCCTTGCCGCTGTCAGTGTGCAGCCCACCTCGGATTATTTATACATATATTTATATATATATGTATAAATATATGTATATATATATACATATATATGTATATAATAATGGAACATATATATAATAATGGAACAAAGAGAAATTTCTTAAGTCAATTAATTTGATAAAAATATAAAACTAATTGGAGGGCACCTGGGAGGCTCAGTCAGTTGAGCATCCAACTCTTGATTTCAGCTGAGGTCATGATGTCACAGTCTGTGAGTCTGAGCCCGACGTCAGGCTCTGTGCTGAGTATAGAGGCTTCTCGGGACTGTCTCTGTTCCTCTCCCCCTCTCCCCCACTTGTTCTCTCTCTCACTCTCTCTTTCTCTCAAAATAAATAAGTAAAAAAACAAAACTAAAATTAAAAAAACAAAAACTAACTGGAAATAAGTTCTATGCACCACAATCAATGCTCGTCCGCCCTCCCTTCCTCCAAGCTCATGTACGGAGCTCAACCTGCAACGGAATGACAGCCTCCACGGCTTTCTAGTGACTTCTCACCACCCTTCTCAAGCATCAGGAAGCCTGCAGTTTCTTGCTCTGTGGGTTTTCACTTAGTAACCACGTGAGAAATGTTAACTGCTTAACGCAGTCTGGGGAAGGGGGTAGTCCTTTGGGGAACTCACCTGTAAATTTCATTTTCAACCACGTGTCTTCCACATTGCCCGTACGAATTGTTTCCCATGCTGAAGACTGAACAAGAGCACCACCAATGACCATGATTCTACAGGCTCACGGAACCCCGGCACATCAGGATTGCAGGGTGGACTCGGAGGGGGTCCCAGTCCCACCGCTCATCCTAACAGCTCTCGATTTCCTCCTCTGACCTCCCCAGCCCAGCAGGCACGCCCGAGGTCCAGCCCCGCAGAAACAGCCCGGGCCCCCGCGACTACTCCTTCTGCCTGTCCCTCCAGGCCCTCCTCCCGCCTCTCGGGAACTGCCCGTGTCGGGGTGAGCACGTCCTGGGAGGCCCCAGCACCCCCCGCTCCCTGGACCCGTGCCAGGTTGCCCTCTGTGTCGAAGCCACTCTGGAGACGGCTCCTGAGTGCCACTTTTGCCTCTTCCCACAAAGCATGCTTAGCCAGAAAACGAACTGGAAAAATTGAGCCCAGCTGGCCTTCCCAAAGAAACAATCACTCTTCTGGAGAAAGTTGGCGTTATCTGGATTCCGGAAGTCCCCCAAGTGAAAGAAGCATGAGGGCTTCTTCCAATACAACAGAAAGAGCTGTCTTCCCACACGGCCCGGCGTGGCAACCTTGCAGCAAAGTGAGGAGGAGGCCATGGTGAGGCGTGCGCTGTAACAGTGACAAATCCCTGGGGTTTTCTAAGAATCGGGGGGGGGCAGAGAACATAAGGGGGCCAGCAGGAGCTGCCCTTGGTGGGGCTCTCGAGCCACCCTCTGGACTCGCTTGGGAAATGCCAGCAGCCTCACTGATCAGGTGCGGTTCAAGCAAACGAAGCACCGGGGACCCAAGTGCAAGAGCGCGGCTCCCCCTGCCCCACCCCTCCAGGAACCCGGAACAGCCAGCTCACCTCCTTCACGGTCTGTCAGGATAAGAGAGTGGGCACGGCCGCAGGACACCTGCAGCACCCGCGTCTCCTGGGGTCTGTCCAGGGGCAGCGGCACCGGCGAGGGCTCCAGCACGTACTCGTAGCCCCTGGCTGAGACGGGGACCACTGGTGTCACGGCGCGTCACGCCGACGGAGAGTCACAGCGTTTCTCATGTTAGAGACCATGCTGTGCACCCCCCCCCCCCAACCATGCTGCCCCACGGCCAGAGGCCAGAGTGATTACTCAAGACGCTCGAGGTGGTGGCCGAGCCAAGACCAGAAGCCAGTCCCCAATCCTGGACCCGCCACACCGTCCGTGACACAGCGGGGGACTGAAAACCATAGTCTGATTAGACTTCCCGGGTCAGTTCGCGACTTCTGCGCCCAAGGGAAGAAAAGCATTTTCCTTCCTGATAAACCCACGACCATTTCTCAGGCAGCAAAACAGCAGCGCATCCTGGACGGTACCGCTTATGGCAAAAGGAGGCAGAAAGAGGCATCCGCTTGCCCGAACATTAAATCCCTCTGAAAGGAGAAAGTGGAAGTTGTTGACACAGGTTGTCTTCAGGGAGAAACACTGTGGGGTGGGAGGACCGGGCAGAAAGCAGCCTTTCACCGTCTATTCTACTGTGCTGACAGGATTCTAAAGGCGCACAAATATGGTCTCTAGTCAAAAAAAAAAAATTTTTTTAGGGGCACCTGTTGGTTCAATCAGTAGAGCATGTGACTCTTGATCTCAGAGTTGTGGGTTCAAGCCCCATGTTGCATACAGAGCTCACTTAATTAATTAGGAAAACTTTATTTTGAAATAAGCAAATAAGGGAGAAAGTCTTCTAGAAGTCACTTTACAGAAGAACCGCAATGTTTTTTACAATCCTGCTGGAGAAGCCAGAATGGTGTATGTGGGGAACTCCCCTTATAGGTTTTAAACAAAGAGCTTTTCACACCTGTAGTGTTGGCTGAAGTTACGATCTGCAAGGTACCAGTTCCCAACCTCGTTGTCACTAACAGCTCTGGTGTTTTCTCCTATGGACCCCATGTCTCAAAAGACTCTACCCCAAAAATGGCATGATTACGGTTACAGTAATACACTTGGTCATTTGTCTTCATCAGCGACTGATGGAATTTTCGGAGACAGCTCTCAATCAGCATGGAGTAACTGCTTTATGGCTATGAGATGATGTCATTCCAGGCAAAATCAAAGAAACTGGGCAATGTTGTCAGCATTCACAGCCTTATTAGTGGAAAAGATGCGGTGCTTCCAAATACTGAAGAGTGACTGGAATCCCCCATTACTATCTGCATAGACCCACTAAGGGCCTGGGAAGCAGTAAATACATAACATTTAAAGGGAATCTGGCTCTAAAAAAGATGGAGGGGGGCAAGGGAGGGAGGGAGGGAGGAAGGAAAAAGGAAGGAAGGAAGGAAGGGTGGGTGAGTGGGTGGGTCTGGCTCTAAATGCAACTGTCAATTGACAGGGAATACAGAGGACAGAGGACCACGTTAAACAGCACCGCAGGGATGCATTGAGCAAACTCTGGACTGGAGAATTCTATAGGATAACCAATGTGATGTCTTTCCTTTTTGTTATTTTTTAAAGATATCACTTTTACATAGTCTCTACACTCAACGTGGGGCTCAAGCCCAGCACCCGAGATGAAGAATCATGTGCTCCACTACCGCCTGAGCTAGCCGAGCGCCCCTCATTTCTTTGTTTCACAAATACGGTTGGATGAGTTAGTTGCCAAAGTAATTTCTTCAGTAAATAAGCTTCAAGGAAAAAAGATTAAGATAGACTTAAAAAGACTTTTAAAAGTGTTATCAACTGGAGCCTGGCTGGCTGAGTCACCACAGTATGAGACTCTTGGTGTCTGGTGAATTTGAGCCCCACGCCAGTGTAGCGTCTACTTAAATACATACATACATACGTATGTACATTGGTCTTATCAATTGATTGCAATGCCGGGACCTTATCTGGATACTGACCCAAACAAATTTTAAAAAAATAAAATAGAGGCGCCCGGGTGGCTTAGTCAGTTAAGCTTCTGACTTCGGCTTGGGTCATGATCTTGTGGTTCGTGGGCTCGAGCCCCATGTCGGGCTCTGTGCTAACAGCTGGCTCAGAGCCTGGAGCCTGCTTCAGATTCTATGTCTCGCTCTCTCTGACCCTCCCCTGCTCACGCTCTGTTTCTCTTTCTCAAGAATAAACATTTAAAATAAAATAAAATAAAATAAAATAAAATAAAATAAAATAAAATAAAATAAAACTGACATTTTTGACAACTCACATTTATGAGACAACTGACCACTTGAATAATGAATGGATATTTGATACCAGAAAGCGATTATGTTGTTACTTTTATGCACTTACTTTTTTTTAAGCATTTCTATTGATTTATTTTTTAGGTATGTACTGGAATGTTTGCTAACGAAATTAATGATGTTGGGATTTGCTTCAAAACAAGTCAGGTTTGGGGCACCTGGGTGGCTCAGTCGGTGAAGCGTCCGACTTCGGCTCAGGTCATAATCTCACGGTTCATGGGTTCGAGCTCTGCATCGGGCTGTGCTGACAGCCAGAGTCTGGAGCCTGCTTTGAATTCTATCTCCCTCTCTGACCCTCCCCTGCTCACGCTGCCTCTCTCTCTCTCTCAGAAATAAATAAAACATTAAAAAATTTTAAAAAAACAAGTCAGGTTTGAGCTGAACCCTGATGCTGGCAACAGCACACAGCCTGCCTCACAGGGCTCTGCCCACTTCTGTGCGGGCGTGCAGGTGCTCCCAGTGACAGGCACAACAAATGTCACGTGGCAGCTCACAGCTGAGACTTCAGGCGTGACTTATAAAAACACTCTTGATACAAAACTGAGTGGAAAAAGGCAGAAAACACACAGTGATCAGAACTGTGCAGGACATCTGCATGTGAATAAGAGAACGAGGAAACAATGAAAAGGTCTATCCAGGTGGTAGAGGTACTGTCCATACAGTCCCCAGCCCCCACCCCACCCCCGTGTGGGATACGTTCCCAGACCCCCAGCGGGTGCCTGAAACCACAGACAGAACCAAACCCTACATATGCTGGTTTTTTCCTGCACATGTATGTCCACGAAAAAGTATAATTTACAAATTAGGCACAAAAAGAGAAACACCCTTACTTATCAGCAAAAGCTCTTTTGCCTACAGGTTAGGCGTGCTTTACAACAAGGCTGATAACCTAGTCCAGAGTTTCGAATAACACCCGTTTAAGACTCTATCTACTCTGTGGTTCCAGCCTGGCTTACGTAATCATTTTCTTGAAAACAGAAGGGAATGAGCTTTCTCAGATGAGTCACAGCACAGGGAAGCCAAGGTGAGAACACTCACTGGTATCTTTGCGGCTCCTGTGAAATCCAAGCTGGGAGTCTTTGTTGAGCCCCATGCCCCAGACTTTCGTAACGTCCTTGGTTTTAGAGGACAGCAATGTGAATCCGTAGCCACAGGCAGCAGATGAAATCTGAAAAAGAGTTCCCATAAAACATGACTGATTGGTGACAATCGAGTTTTCTCAGCAATACATGACAGGTTATTCATCCAAAGAACACACACTATGAACGTAGCGAGTAGCATTTATTTTTTCTTTAAGATTTTATTTTTAATTAATCTCTATACCCAACGTGGGGCCTGAGCTACAACCCCTGAAATCAAGGGTCCCCACACTCTTCCAAATGAGCCAGCCAGGTACCCCGATACAGCGACTAACATTTGTCAAACATTTATTGTGTCGATATGTATTATCTCACTTAATCTTCATAAACACCCTATGAACGAGTTACTATCATCCACCCCATTCACCACGATACGGTCTTACATAGTAGTAAACTGAAAATTGCCTTTGTTTGAACCTTGGGTCTACCCCTTACCTTACCAGTGACCTGAGAGGGATTACCTCTCTGTCAAACAAAAATAGGAATAGTGTCTCTCTTACTGGGTTATTGTAAAGACTAAAGGAGTTAATAAAGATGAAGCCTTACAATAAATGGTATGTGACTTCACCTAGAGCTCTATAATGTACTGGTAATTATTACTGTTAGTGGTAAGAGTAGTACTCTGTAGATGGGAAAACTGCAGTTCGTGGAAATTAACTAGAGTCTACTGCTTCCATTGAGCATGCTCTTAACCCCTATGGGGCACTGCTACCTTCTCAAACCACTGCCTAAAGAAGAATTAGTATCACAGCTACAGTGAATTTATTACTTTTTTTAAATTTCTAAGTCATCTCTATACCCAACATGAGGCTCAAACTCACAACCCTGCGGTCAAGAGTCGCATGCTCCTCCGACCGAGCCAGCGAGGCACCCCCAAAATACTTCTTGTGTGATTTGTTGATGCCTTGTTTCATTGTCATCCAAAAGTGATTCTTCCCTCCTATCACCTTGTGATATTTTCAATCGTAATTTTCACATGGAACTTATGCGCATGCACCTGTGTTCAAAAAACCTCAGTTCTCTGGCATTCTGGAGCCCCTCCACTTCTGGACTGACTCCAACTCCGCAGAAATGACCCAGCAAGAAGCAGGAGATGAAGGAAAGGAATAAGTCCTAAGGTAATACCCGGCACACTACACTTATTCTCTTTGCTTGTGATAATCTGTTTATTCAACACTCAACAAACATTTCCTAAGTACCTACTGTATTATTAAGTCTACTGACAGGTGAAAGGGCTTTGAATGACACCGGACACAAAGACGGCAGTACAGAATTTCTGAGGTAACATGCTGTCAGGGGACTTCCAGCTACAGTAGTATGAAGAGGTTGGTAAATCGCTCAAAAAATATATATATATATATATATCTATATATATATATATAATCGGACAAAATTGTAAAACAGCAAAATAAAACAAAGGGGAAAAAAACCAAAACCTCAAACATTTCAGGGATCGAGAAATCAAAGACAAATAGACTAAGAAATGTTTATTTGTGAAGCGGTTAAGCATCCAACCCTTGATTTCAGCTCAGGTCATGACCTTACAGTTTGTGAGTTTGAGCCCTGCAACAGGCTCTAAGCTGACAGCACAGAGCCTGCTTGGGAATCTCTCCCTCTCTCTCCCTCTGCCCTTCCCCTGCTTGCGTGCGCACGCTTTCTCTCAAAATAAATAAATAAAGACTAAAAAAAGAGAAGAAATGTTTATTTGTGAAACACTGCTACAACTTCAGGTAGCAAGAGCGGGAGTCTGCAGACTTCCCCATCTCAGGCTGCTCTATCTATCCCAGCTCAGTCAGCACAGAAGCTTAAAAGGGTACGAGTGGGGACACCTGGGTGGCTCAGTCAGTGAAGCGTCCGACTTGTGCTCAGGTCATGATCTCACGGTTCAGGGGTTCAAGCCCCGCATCGGGCTGTGTGCTGACAGCTAGCTCAGAGCCTGGAGCCTGCTTCAGATTCTGTGTCTCCCTCTCTCTCTCACCCTCCCCTGCTCACACTGCCTCTCTCTCAGAAATAAATAAAACCTTTTTAAAAAAATGAAGAGGGCAAGGGTGATTATGAAAGCCATCAACTCTGTGGCCAGGAAGGACAGACTTACTTTTGGGCAGAAGAGGAAAACTCATGCCCAATAGTGAACTGAGCAGGACACAAACAAGGAAAACCCACAACTCAGCTGGTCGGAGGCTGCAACCCTGACCGGGGCAAGACCAGCCAGAAGCATAACGGAACGATGCTGGAAATGAAGTAACCGCAGAAGGCTCTGCGCACATCCATGGCTGACCGGGAAACTCCGCCAGTGAGCACGGCAGACCTGGGCACCCAGGGCCACGGCGAGCTGAGGCAGACAAGAGAACAGCCTCATCGTTGAACGTGGCCTCCAAACCTATACACAGAATCAAAGGTAGAAAAAGGTAGAAGCCCTAGAAGCCCAAAGTACTTGAGCACAACCTCTGCCCAAAATCATCAGCTGACCACAAAGGTACGCAGGTGGGGGTAACACTCAAGAAGCCAGGCTCAAAAGAGGAGGAGGGAAACCAATAAAAAACCTGAACAGAGATATCAGTGGCCATGCACGGCAGGGGAGATTGATTCTACAGATGAAGTACATAAAAGTTACCAAAAAAAAAAAAAAAAAAACCTCAAGGGAAAAATATCAGAATCCAAAGTTATAAAAATATCACCCAGAAGTTCAGAGACTTTTTTTTTAATGTTTTATTTTATATTTGAGAGAGACAGAGAGTGAGCAGGGGAGGAGCAGAGAGAGATGGAGACAGAATTGGAAGCAGGCTCCAGGCTCTGAGCTGTCAGCACAGAGCATGACTGGGGCTCGAACTCACAAGCAGTGAGATCATGACCAGGACCGAAGTCAGATGCTTCACCGACTGAACCACCCAGGTGCCCCAGAAGTCCAGTTTTTAACCAAAAAGACCTGCAGAGAAACACGAAAGGGTGACCTCTATACCAAAGGACAAAAGCAGCTGACAGAAACCAATGCTAAGAGGACACACGCTGGATTTATCAAAGACTTCAATAAACCATTGTTCAAAGAATATTTTAAAACCATGTTTAAAGAACTAAAGGAAAACATGATGACAATGACTTCACAGCTATGGAATCTGATTATAAAATAAAAACATTAACAAGTTAAATGAGGTGGGGAGTGGAATGAGGTGGGGGGTGGAATGCGTGGCTGATTCAATCGGTAGAACATCCGACTCTTGATCTCAGTCATGAGTTCAAGCCCCACGTTGGGCACAGAGTCTACTTTAAAAAGTTAAATGGAATTTCTAGAATGGTAAAATACAGTAACCCAAAGAAAGAATTCACTAACTGGCCAAGCAGTTCAGTTGAAGAAATATCAATTGAAATTATTCATTCTGAAGAACGGGGGGGTGGGGGGGATAGAAGGAAAAAGAACAGTCACTCGGAGACCTATGACACAGCATCAAGTGTAATGTAATGAGTCCCAGGAGGGCAAGAGAGAAGGGGGAGGAGGGTTACTAAAAACAATAATGGCAGAAAACTTACAAATTTTATGAAAAACATAAATCTACATATCAAAGCTACTCAATAAATCAGTTAAACTGACGACAAAGAGAAAAATCCTGAAAGCGTCGGAAGAAAATGACTTCTCAAGAACAAGGAAGTCCAGGGGCGCCTGGGTGGCTCAGTCAGATAAGCGTCCAACTTCGGCTCAGGTCGTGATCTCGCGGTTTGTGGGTTTGAGCCCTGCGTTGGGCTCTGTGCTGACAGCTCAGAGCCTGGAGTCTGTCTTAGGATTCTATATCTCCCTCTCTCTGGCCCTCCCCTGCTCACGCTGTCAATCTCTCTCTCAAAAATAAAACATTAAAAATTTTTTTAAAAAAAGAACAAGTCCTCACAACAGCAAGATTAACAACAATAAGATTAACAGCTAAGTTCTTATCAGAAACAAGGGATTCCAGAAACCAGAATGACGTAAGAAAATGGAGGGGGAGGAGGAGGTGGAGGAAAGAAATAAAGACATGCCCAAAGACTGAGAGAATTCAGTAGACCTCCCTTAACAAAGGAGGAGTCCTTCAGGCACAAAGGAATGAACAGCAAATGGTAACTAAAAACCACAGGAAATGAAGAGCACCAGTTAACGGAATTATAATGGTAACTATAAAACACTGCATGGATACATTCTTCCCTTTTTGTCTCTTAAAGGGCTTAAAAGACAACTGCAGAAAATAGTAATTGTAAAACTGTATTTAGTAATTGTAAACTGTAGTATCGTAATAACCACACAAAGGAGAGAGGAGGGAATGCAGCTCTATTGGAACAAAGTTGCTAGAGTTTGTTCACAATTAGGTCACTATTAACCTAAAGTAGACTATGATAAATTAGGATACGTAGTGTCATCTCAAGAAAAAAACCTCCTCAAATATACAGCAAAACACCCAACAAAGGAAATTAAGAGGTACACTATAAAAATACCTACTTAACACAGAAGGCAGCAAAGGACGACTAGAGAAACAAACAAAGACAGAAACAAAAAGCAAGATGGCAGATGTGATCCAACCATCTCGTAATTACATTAAAAGGACATAGACTGAGCGACATCTGTGACAGTGGCGGGGCAACAAGAACACTGGCAACGTCAGAATCAATTTTTTTTCAGAACTCTGAAAACCACCCAAAGACTCAGAGCGATCTAGGAAGGTTTACTCGAGAAAAGCAGCTGAGATTCAGTAAGAACGGCAAGCTTTGCAGCATTTCAACTTGACCTGTTCCCATCCACCTCGGCTCAGCTCTGAACACCCACAGCCCGCAATCACAGCGCAGACCAGCAGTCTGGCAGCCACTGGAGGGGACAGAAAGGGACTGGAGCCACTTCAGAGCTCCACTCCCAGCGCATTCTCAGCTATGTGTCTGGTGAGTCACTGGAAGGCTGCATTCACAAGGCTCTATTGATGTGACCTGACCCAGATATCACTCGGTGCAGCCTCCCCCAGGGATATTTATTGACAACAATCAGCGGCTAACGATGAACACTGCAGCTGCTTGAAGTGGTTGGTGGATCGCAGCTGGAGCGATTAATAGTCTAACCAAGAAGTTATCGACTAACTTGACCTCACATCAACTCCGCCAGCAGCCGGATACACATCCCTTCCAAGCACACACGGGACAGTCTCCAGGGTAACACCGCATGCTAGGCTGCGAAACAGTCTCGATGCATTTAAAGGGGCTGAAATTACAGAAAGTAGAGCCACAACGAAATGAAACTGTAACTGCGGTGACAACCCCGATTCCGGGGGTGACGTGCGAAGGACGCCAGTCGGGCACAATACGGGCACGCTACAGCCACTCGATAAATGTGAGCAGCGCCCTAACGCCCTCCCCTCCCGGGTCTGCATCTGCCTCGAGGGTCCTCCTCCCCGACGGCGGACCCCCCTGGCCTCCCAACTTCTCGCAGAGGAGCAGCGGCGGAGGCCTCGGGGAGCCGCGGCCCGCACCTTCTGGTCCAGCTCCAGGCGGTAGGGCACAGGTTGGATCCTCCGTCGCGGCCGCGAACCTGAGCGAGGCTCGGGCCCGGCGCCGGGCAGCACGAAAGTGGGCACGCCCAGCGCCCCGGAGAAACTGAAGCCCCACACGAAGATGCGGTCCGCACGGGCCGCGCGCTCGCCCACATATTGGAACACGGGCGTGTCTGCCTCGCGCCGGCTTCGCGAGCGCCCGGCAGCCGTCCAGTGCCTTCGGCCCGGCCTCAGCTCCGGTCCCGATCCGCTCAGCCGCCGCCCCAGCCGAGCCCCGGCGGCCAGCGCCGCCAGCGCCATCCTCAGCCCCACGCCTCAACGCCCCCTGGGCGCCGCCATCTTGCGTGACCCTTGACCCCAAGCCGCGATGTCAGAGCCAGAGGCCACGTCGGCTACTGGCTGAAGGCAAAGGCGCCGAGGGCTGCCATTGGCTGAAGGGAGGCTGGGGGCGGGGCGGAACCGGGGAGGAGCGCGCCTGTGAGTGGGTGGGGCGCTGGGCTAGAGCTTCTGTCGCGGCCCCCTGAACGCTCCAAGCTCCGTAGCGGGCCGGAAGAGTACGCTCCCCGGGCCGCGCTTTTGACTGTGCCCCGGCGGGAACGGAAGGCCCTTTGCTGCTTGTCAGTTAGCAGAGGTAAAACTTCGGGGTGGCCCGCTCTGCTCGACTCCCATGCTCTCCCCGTGTCCCGGTTTTCCTTCCTTGTCGCAGCGTTCCCATCCGCTTCCTGGACACGCAGTCGGGCTCCAGCCACAGTGCGCTGGACTGCGGGTCCTACGGGCGCGCGCCCTTGACCCTGCAGCGCAGCCCTGCAGCCTGCCGCAGGGCATCCTCTTCCCCAGCTCACCTCCCCCCACAGCCCCGCACGCCACTGGGATCAGGTGGTTTTCCTTGTACTTCCCGAATCCCGGGGCCGCTTCAGGCCTCCCTACATTGCACACAGTGCCTCGAATGTTCTTCCCGGTGCCCTCTTCCCTGCAGATGTCTGGCACACTCCTTTTTTTTTTTTTTTTTTTTTTTTACAAATAGTTTATTGTCAAATTAGTTTCCAGCGGCACACTCCTACTCCTAAGATCCGGCACCTCCTCAAGTTCCGTGAAGGAGGGAACTGACGGGGAGTGCGGGCACCTGGGTCTGGACCTGGCTTTGCTACTGACTTGGTAGATGTCTTTAGCAAGTTGTATCCCTTCTCTGGATCGCACCTCTAAAGTAAGGTTTAAAAAAAATCAAAACGTGAAATGAAAATTTTTAAGTAAATGAGATAGGATCTCTTGCAGCCCATTATGATCCATGATAGATGTTCCCAAATACTACTCCCCAATGCTGAGGACAGACTGTTCTGAAACTAGGGACCCTGGGGGTTGGTAGGGTTCCAGAACAGCAGAGCCAGATAGCTGGACTTCATCATCACAAGTAAGGTACATGAACTTGGTAGATGAAGCGAGGACAGAGTGGCAACCACAGTGCCTTGACACTGGCCATCTGTGCCGTTGGCTGTCCGACCACCGTAGTCCAAAGGATGAGGTATAAGGGCCGACAGCGACAGGGCTGCCTTACCTTGTATAACCAGAAAAAATCTGACCCAGTTCTCAGACCGGAATCCAGCAATTGTAAGAGAGGTAGAATCACTGGAAGAAGGACCCTGCAGAGCCAGCACAAGTAGAGGCAATAAATATCTAATGATTCCCCAAAGGCACTAGGGGTTATTTACCAGAGGTGCTCTACACTGGAGAAATGAGAATAAGCAGCTCTTCCAAGAGCTTGATGCAGGGTCTGAGATGACAGTGACCCCAGAGGACCGGAAACAGTAGCAAGGACCCCAGCTGGAGTGGAAGTTTATGGGGCCAGGCAGAGAGGTGCATCTCTCAGTGGGTCAGGGTGTCCGTGGACCCACCCTGTGGAAATGTCCTTGATCCCAAGTACACAATTGGAACAGACATACTCAGCAACTTGTGTGGGTTCCCTCATCCTGTGTTGACTCAGCCGGTGTGAAATCAGAAACCATACCGCATCCCAGGTGGAATTGCATTTGCAGATTTGAGTGCCATCTTCAGAGATGAGGATTCAGGGGCGGCGGGTCCCCCTCTTAACTCCAGTTCACTTGTTCAGCCCCTGCAAAAAACAGATGGAGTGTGGCAGATACTGGTAATAAACTATGTACACGTAGCCAAGGGCATGTAGCCCAGTCATAGCCTCCATGCTGGACCAGTTTTGCTGGAACAGTTTCTGGAACTTACTATGGGATACTGATCTGGCAGATGGGTTTCCTTCAATTCCAGTGGTAAGAGGCTCAAAGGCAGTTGCCTCTATATAAGAAGAACAGTATTGGGGCGCCTGGGTGGCTCAGTTCGGTTAATCATCTGATTTCGGCTCAGGTCATGATCTCGCAGTTAATGAGTTCAAGCCCCACTTTAGGCTCTGTGCTGACAGCTCAGAGCCTGGAGTCCACTTCGGATTCTGCATCTCCCTCTCTCTACCCCTTCCCCACTTGCTGTCTCTCTCTCAAAAATAAATATTAAAAAAAAGGACAATATTATACATTAACTTTCCCTGCCCTTTCACTCCTGTGCCTCCCAAAGTATCTGTGTACAAGACCTTGTCTCCAGCTCTGCTTTTATTTATAAATCGGAGACACATATTGATAAAGAAGAATTATGTAAATGTGATTGCATTGGTGAGGGTTCTGGAGAACCCTTTTTTTTTTTGACATAACTATGTTATTTAATATTCATTTTATAGCATTGGACACACAGCTCAACATATTGAAGTATTGAATCCTTGGAGAAAAAAATGGAAAAAAAGGAAATAAAAAATATTGCATCTTTCTGTTGGAGAATTTCAGCCTCCAGGCATGGGGCGCGGTGCACCAGTGTCCTAGCCTACAGGAGGCGCTGAGGTCGGCAGGGTCGTCTGGGGAGGGAGGCTGTGCCCTTCACCCAGAGCAGTATGGCAAAAATTGTGTTGGGTGTCCTTGGCCTTGCCAGCTCAGGCCCTCAGTCGCCGGTCACCTGGGGGCCCTGCCCGTCGGAGGGCTGGTTGGCTGACTGGATGAACATGGGCAGGTAGGCAGTTCCTACCAAAACTGGTAGGAACAGAAGTCCCATGATCCACCTGCAAGCTGGACAGTCAGGAGAGCCAAAGGTGTGGTTTCCAGGCTGAGCACAAGGTCTGAGAACCAGAAACAACAAGGGGTTAAGTCCCAGGTCAAGGGCAGGAGACTGGCACTGCCTTCCTCTGCCTTTTTTGGTCCATTCCGGCCCTGAGTGGGTTGGACGTGGCCCATGAACATTGGAGAAGGCAACCTTCATCTGGTCTGCCAATTCGAACGCTAATGTCTTCCAGAAACACAGACACACTCAGAAATAATGTTAAAACCCTTGGTCTGGGCATCCCATAGCCCATTCGAATTGACACATTTAATAGCATAATTAACCATCTCAATTATTAATATAGATACAGAATGCTTATTCATGAAATGTCTATCCAGTTTTCCACTGTTCTTGCATAAACAGGACTATGCTTTCATCTGAGTTCATGGCCTCTCTGATTTTTTGGTTTTAAGTATCTGTTCTTTTTACAAACTGGCCATGATGATAGATAGTAGGCTTTTAAAACATCCTTACTTGTCAGAATTTAAAAATTGAGGGGAGCCTGGGTGGCTCAGTCGGTTAGGCGTCCGACTTCGGCTCAGGTCATGATCTCACGGTTCATGGGTTCAAGCCCCGCGTCGGGCTCTGTGCTGACAGCCAGCTCAGAACCTGGACCCTGTTTCAGATTGTGTATCTCCCTCTCTCTCTGACTCTCCCCTGCTCACGCTGTCTTTCTCTCTCTCTCGGAAATAAATAAAAAACATTAAAAAAAAAAAACTGATAACCCAGGGGCACCTGGGTGGCTCAGTCAGTGAAGGGTCCAACTTCAGATAAGGTCATGATCTCATGGTTCGTGAGTTCGAGCCCTGTGTCGGGCTCTATGCTGACAGCTCAGACCCTAGAACCTGCCTCGGATTCTGTGTTTCTCTCTCTCTCTGTCCCTCCCCGCCCCCCACACACACACTCTGTCTCACTCTCTCTCAAAAATAAACATTAAAAACAACTTTTAAATTGATAACCCTATGTAGGACTCTTAAATTTATTTATTTTTTAAAGATTTTATTTTTTTAAGGGCACCTGGGTGGCTCAGTCGGTTAAGTTTCTGAGTCTTAATTTCAGCTCAAGTCATGATCTCATGGTTCATGGGTTTGAGCTCCACATCAGGCTCCACACTGACAGTGCAGAGCCTGCTTGGGACTGATTCTTTTCCCCTGCCCCTCTCAAAAATAAATAAATACTTTTAAAAATTAAAAAAAAATTTTAAGTAATCTCTACACCCAACACAGGGCCCAAGATCAGAGTCGTACACGCCATCAACTGAGGCAGCCAGGTGCCGCCCGTCTCTTGAATTTATAAAACATTTGACTGTTAAAGGATATCCAAAGAAGCATTAGTTTTGAGATTCAGGGGACACAGGGCACAGTGATGAATTCTGCAATGTGAGCCACAGCCACTAGGTGGTAATGCTTGCCCACCAATTTCGTGTCAGTTGTTCACCAAGAAATGGGATAAAATCGACTAAAAGCCAGTTTGGCCAATGAAGAGCTAGGTTTGCAGTGATAACTGGGCTTTTCTATTTTACTGTCAAAACCTGGTTGTTTTATATACTGGCTGTATGCCGTCTCATTCTTGTGCTTCTGTCCATATTGTTGCGGGGGAAAAGATGGTCCTCCAACAAAATATTAAACTGTCTACTAATGTTAACCAAGCTCAATTTCTCCCCCACCAATGATGATGTTTTCCTGTAGACGTTCTGATTTCTCTGTCACATTGGGGTAGCTGAAATTCTCTGGTCTGGGAAAGAATGAACTCACCTAGGCATACATACTTTAATTATTATTATTAACTTTTAATTATACAATGAATATATGATGAAATGCCTTTGTAAAAAAAAATTACTTAAGTGATATATATGGATAAGGTAAAGGTTTCTTTTCTTTTTCTTTTTTTTTTTTTTTCCAGTTTATTTTTGAGAGAGAGAGGCAGAGAGAGAGAGAGGGAGACACAGAATCCGAAGCAGGGTCCAGGCTCCAAGCTGTCAGCACAGAGCCCAAAGCAGAGCTTGAATCACAAACTGCGAGATGATAACCTGAGCCAAAGTTAGACACAAGCAGCCAAACCACCTGGGCGCCCCTAAAAGGTAAAGCTTTCCTTAACCTTGGCCCCACCTGTATCCATTGCCATAGAAAAAATATCTTAAAATTTTTCTTGTGTGTGTGTTTAAAGAAGAAGATATGGAGAGCCTGGGTGGCTCAGGCG